GTAGGTGCAGTTTGCATTGGCCAAATGACAGCAGCAGGCTATACCAAATTAATGTCTTGTCAGCAGAAGGTCAGTGTTGACTAGAATCACAAATAAGGGAGGGAGAATCTGTCAATTTCTGTTCTCTCCATTTCTTATATTTTCCAGTCTTAAATTCAGTTCTGCACATTTTGCAGCAATTTATGACTATTTCATTTTTTAAAAAAACCTGATGAAAATTCACCAGCTTTTTAGTGTGGATTCTCCTGCCAAACATTTTAATACACACTGTCAAACATTTTAATACACACTTTTGACTAATGTACACATTTTTGCAAGCAATTTCCCCTAATATAAAGCAAATTTTTTATGTTATTTTCATTAATATATTCATTTTAATGCACTTTCCCCCCTAACATGTGCATTTTTGTAAATATTCTTTGTTTGGACACCTGCACTGAAAAATTTGGGTAAGTGTGAATTTGGAAATATAGCTGTGTTTCAGTTAGCATATTGTTTTGGAAAGTGTGAATTTGAGAGGTTTAAATGTGTACTGAAATGAATTCAGGAGGTAGGGGTGGTATTAAGAGCAGACTGAGTTTGGTAGAGCAGTTCCCAATTCATTCTAATGGACCACTGTTGCAATGGTCACCTTGCAGATTAATGGCTAAAAAGCAGAATCTGAACTGGGGACTTGCTGGATCACAGCTCACATACTAGGACAATATATTTCACCAGCTCAAAATCAGCGAGTTACTTCTTTTAAAACCAAAAATTATTAAATCTGAATGGGACTGGCTGTAGATTTTACACAACTTGTAGGAGTCTATAAATTCCTTCTCATTATATTAGCTTATCTGTCTGTTTCACCAAAACCATCCCAATGCTGGAAAGAAGGCACATTCCACGTCAAAGTAGTGATTTTGCTAGGAGACAAGAACAGGGCAACAAACATAATTGACTATCCAAAGTCATTGCACATTCATTTCAGGGATATTTGACTCACTACCGTGCCTACAGACGAAGAAGACGAGAGAGGACAGTTGTACGAGGGCTAGGAAAGATTGGCTTCAATGGGGTGGCCCAGCATAATTGCATCTCTGTAAAAATTAGTGAAGGGTGATCATCCCACAATGCAAGGGTTTGGATGCTCTTCTAAACATGCAATTATCCCATCTCTCAAAGAACTGAGTGGGAGATTATCCTGCACCAGCAAGCATTAGTCCATGGAATCAATTATCAATGCTAGATGAACTTTGTACAGGGCAAACCATGGCAAGAAAAGTTATTGGCATCTGCCCCCCTCCCCGTTCCACTGCCCCATGACAACAGTGCCTTTGACCAGCCTGCCTTCTTCCTGACCTTCCAATCTACTGGTTTCCCCCTTTTTGTGCTGACTGTATATTTAAATAGTTGAGTGTGATCAATCCACACCAGCTACCATGTTCCTAAATTTCCAATCTGCTATGGAAGTCTGCCTCTGGTGGTCTCCACTGGAACTGAGGAAAGGACAATGCCGCTATGAGATGTATGAGCATCGTATTGCCAGGCTGCCCCAGATGACTCACCCATTCTAAGGTTCCTGACAGCGCCCACTGCAGAAGTCTCTCCTGGCCCACCAGGTCGCTGAGTGCAGCCAACCTGTAAATTCCCCGCAATGTCTTGAGTTAGGATCATCACTATTTACATGTGGCTTTCCCCATGTATCCTGCCAACCTAGCAGTTCGAAAGCATGTCAAGTGCAAGTAGATAAATAGGTACCACTCCAGCGGGAAGGTAAACAGCATTTCCGTTCGCTGCTCTGGTTTGCCAGAAGCGGCTTAGTCATGCTGGCCACATGACCAGGAAGCTGTCTGCGGACAAATGCCAGATCCCTTGGACAGTAAAGCGAAATGAGCGCCGCAACCCCAGAGTCGTTCACGACTGGTCTTAATGGTCAGGGGTCCCTCAAAGTGGTTCACAATGACTATTTTTATGTTATTGTTGGCATCCGTCTATCTCGGGAGACAATGGAGGAGTGCATCTTTGGTGCTGAGGTCAAACTGTTGCAAGGTGTCAGGAACGTTCTTTCCCAGAGTGACAGTGAGGGCTCCGAGGACCAAGGAGGGTGGCAGGCAGAAAGAGATGGAGGCTTGCTTTCTTCACATGCATAGAGTGTGAAGCGAGCCCCTGCTGTCGTGGAATGCAGGTCATAAATTTCCAGGACAGCGTAAAGCAGGCAGAGGGGCCGCAGCTCTCAGACATGCTCTCAGGGGTGGAGGGGCAAACTGGACAATCTGCTAGGAGGATGGGCAGAGTCCAGGCTTGGCGTCAAGGCCACAGAAGGAGGAGCATCCGGTGGCATATATCCTGTTGGAAAAGAGCCCACCCTCCAGTGGGCTCAACTGACCCATTGAGTGATGAAGATTGAGTTGTGTGCTCGGACTGAGCTACTGTGTAAATACTGATAAATCTTGTTATGTACTGAGTTGAATAGGATCCAAAATGCAGCAGTCTGATTGGTCCTAGAACAATAGGATCCAAAATGCAGCAGTCTGATTGGTCCTAGAACAATGCAGCAGTATGATTGGTCTGCAGGAGCCACCCAATCCAGCTCCAGATGGAAGTGAATCCACAACCTGATTGGCCTACAGGAGAATTCCGGAATTAGCCAATCACATGCAGTCCATTGTGTAAATAATGTATATAAAGCAGATACTTTGAGGGGACATTTGTTCCTCCTCACCACTATGAGCTGAATAAAGAGCATGAAATACACTCTTGACTCTGAGTATATTTCAAATCTGAACATTATAAAACTGCCGACTTGCTGTTTCTTGGTGTGAGAGGGAGATTGTAAATCCTGAGACAAGGTTGCAGCGCCTGCTGTGGTTGTAGAGACTGACGCGGGAAAGGCGTGTTTTCTTTTCCTGCTGCTGTTTGTGCTGCTGCAGATGCACCATGGCGTCTCTCCTCTCCTCCCTTTGGTTACAAGTGTAATTGCAAGAATATGAGAGACTGCATGGGAGGGCTGCAATGCATTTCCTTTCCATGCAAAAAGGTCCCAAGTAGGTCCACAAGGTAGGGCTGGGAATATTTCCTGCCAGAAACCCTTGAGAGCTGCTGTCAATGCAGACAATACTGAGCTACATGTAGCACTGGTCTGCCTTCCTGCTACTAAAACACAGGTATAGTTCTGTGAAATAATTGTGACATCTGCTCTAGTCTAATAAAATTAAATTTATGCTCGGTTTATGCACACACACGCGCGCCAATAATAAACATGTGTTTATTATTGAACCTGTCTGGATGATTTCACATGCAAGACCCCCAGCGTGCCTTCAAAAGAAAGCCCCCCGAATAACTACGTAGTGCCCTGCAAACACTTTTTCTATTTACACAGCTGCTCTGCTGCCGAACGAGAAGCGAGTTATTCTGCTTTTTTAAAAAAAAATCATAGTGGAATTTCCCATGCTGTTTTTGAACACCGCTGTGCATCCTGAGCATGGGGCTCTCAGCAGGAAGTAGTTCATGGGCATTTCGGAGGAAAAGGAAAAGAAAGAAAACGCTTTAAAGGTGTTAAAGGTGCCCGAATGGAGCGACGAGTTCTGAGAACTGCAGGGCTGTGGGAGAGTTGTTTTAATGGAGCAATATCCCACTGTGGGCAGTGAATGCCCCTGCGGCCTCTGGGGTGCTTATCTCGAGCACTCGACCGAATGGAAGAGTTCTAAAATGACTTGGAGGGCTTAGAAAACATTTCAGAAATGTAAAAGAAATTTCAGAAAAGGGAGCTCAAAGACCTTTTAGGAAAGGAGGACAGGGCACTGCCTTAGTCTATTTGGTTCAGTAGTGTTTCCACTGACTGGCAGTGGTTCTTAAGGGTTTCAGGCAGGGAATACTCCCAGCTCTCCATAAAGATGCTAGGGACTGAGGACGGGAATTTCTGCAGGTAAAGCCAATGTACTGACCCTGACCTAGGGCCCTCCCCACTCTGGATGTCCTGCGCACTTCATGGCATTGCTACTCTTTCAAGAGTTTACAACATCCTTCTGAAAAATGACAGTTACAGATCTGACCAGGCAAATCAAGTGCTGTGAAATGCAGCAGAAAAGATGGCCCAACTATTTAGTCATTTGTTTATTTCATGAAGTTTAAATTCCACCTGATGGTTAGAGAAAAAGAAAGCCTCAAAGCATTTTACAAATAGAATAAAACCATGTAAGTATTGGTAAACAAACACAAATATTTACTATAAAACTTACAAAAGATAATTAAAATCAAGGACAGACTTAAAAAAAGACGGATTAAAACACATGTCAACATTCTACATATCTGGGTAGGCTTGCCTAATACTTTGGCCACCTCATGAGAAGAGAAGACTCCCTGGAAAAGACCCTGATGTTGAGAAAGATTGAGGGCGCAAGGAGAAGGGGACGACAGAGGACGAGATGGTTGGACAGTGTTCTCGAAGCTACCAACATGAGTCTGACCAAACTGCGGGAAGCAGTGGAAGACAGGAGTGCCTGGCGTCCTCTGGTCCATGGGGTCACGAAGAGTCGGACATGACTAAACAACAACAACAACCACCAGAAATGTTTTCAGCGGGCGTTGAAATGAATACAGTGATGGTACCTGCCTGATGTCAATAGGCAGGGAGCTCTAAAGTCTGGGTGCTGCCACACTAAAAGACCAATTCCCTACAAATACAGAACAAGTATTATATGATGCCAGTTCCATAGATCAAAGCGGTCCAGTGGGGATATATGGAGTAAGACGATCTCACAAGGGTGAGGGAGAGGAAAAACCCAAAGGGAGAGCATGTTTAGACTGGCGATAAGCCATGGGAAATTACAAGATCTTGTAATAGCACTACACATGTTACTTGAGATCATTTGGATGGAGTGGATCAGAAAGGTACAGCAACAAAAAATGTGAAGAATCCAGAGAAAACCATTTGTTTTATTTATTTGTTTATTAGACTTATCTACTGTGCTTCATCACAATATCTAAGGGCAGTTCACAAGACTAGAACAAAGTCTGGTGGGCACTGGGGCAGTCTGAAACAATGGCCAAGCCACAGGCAGGCTCCCAAATAGGCGTTCACAGTGACTTTGCTCCTCCCTGCTGTACCATGCTAAGTCAAGGTTTGGTTTTGCGTCTTGTCTGAACTGGGACTTGCGGGTTGCTCCCTATTGGATAGGACTGTGCCAAAGTCTGCCCTTCAATTACTCAGAAATCTTCTTCCTCTGGGAAAGAGGTTTCCATTTTCTCTGCCTCATTCTCAAAGCACTTGATGATTTCTGTGGAATTTTGGGAGTGCAGGGATTGTCGTCTAGAAAGATAAGCATGACAAAAACCCTTGCATCCCACCCATGAAAATTTCACCAACACCTTGTGATGACCCTTGTAACTTTTTCTTTTCTCAGCAAAAGAGAATTTTTCAGCACAGTGTGAATGCAGGATGAATAAATCAAATGAAATATGGTTTCCCTTTGGTATGCCCAAATGTCCTTCCCTCAACAGTGTGAGAGGGAAGAAAATCTTTAAAAATACCTTCCCATGGACACAAGTGTCCCTGTGACTCTGGAGAGGCTGAGTTGGTGACTCTTGGTCTCCTCTGCTCCTTTCATTGAGATCTGCATAAATCTTCTTAAATTTGATAGGCAATTCAGATGTCTTTTATGTCCTCCTACTTTTCTCAGATCAAATTTGCATCTATCACCCTCAGGGTGTCCAAGAACTCTGCCCCAGCAAGCAAAAAGAACTGACCCTAGACATTTTTTAACCTTCCTCTTTGGAGTTTGTACGATGACTGTAATTTTTTTAACGCTGGTGCTCATTTTACTTTATTCTACACTACTTTCATTTATTTAATTATTTTTAAAACTTTACTATACACAACTGGACAATGTGCTCTATCTGTTTCTTATCCCAGTTTCCTAATGCCGGCCATGGATTTGATGTTTATGTACATGCACACAGGTACATACACTCTCACTGTGCAATGGCTGCATCCACATGGGGGACCACTTGTTCACAACACCCAGCCATCTGAGCTGTCAGCCTTGCTTCTCCAACATCCTTGTATGGGAGCAAGAGTACAATAAGGCAGTGGTTCCCAACTGGTGGTCCACAGGCCAAAGGCGGTCCATATAACCCACCCAGGAGGTCCATGGTACCATTCAAATAACAAAAGCTACCATAGAGATATCTATGTCCGGCAGCCTTTTATCTCTGATGGGGTAACGGCCAGTCCTGATCCCCCAATGACTCACCTCCCTGTTTCGCCCGAAGGCGAGCACTCCTCGTGTGAGTACTCAGGTCTCTCCTTCTCTCAGACCTGAGTCTCTACAGCTTGGGAGATGTCGGTGGGTTACTACACCCAGAAGCCGCCTCAGCCTCTCCTGACCCAACTGGTAGTGGAGCAGCTGTACGTGATTGCCCAGCAGAGGGCAACGAGGTAATCCCCACATCTGGAGCCAGGGAAGGCTCAGGCCCCTGTCTCGGCCCAGCTGGTACTTGTTGCAGGGGAACCTGTGCAGACTGGGACTCTTCAGAATCAGGCCCCAGACTCGGTTCACAGTCTGAGGCAGAGGATCAAGTGCGGATTGAGACTCCTCTGGTTCCGAATCCAAGCCCGAGTCCCAAGCCATCACACATCATTTCTGTGGGTGTCCAAAGTTTAAAAAAAAGAAATTCAAAGCAAAGTTTATTTGCATCTCAATGCACTCATTTCAGACTCACTTGCGGTACAGCAGAGCTCCCTCAGCAAAACAATGGTTGGGAAATTTTCTCATGCAGAACCTCCTGAAGTCAAGAAGCAAACCCACAAGAGGGTTCCTCCACACATCTAACTGATGCTTGGCTCTGGCTGTTGCCACCCACGCAATCCCAGGCATGGGGGTCGCATGGAACAAAGGAATCGAGACGGTGCATGAAAGCTGGACATTTCCCATTGATGAGAACTTGCTGGAGGTGTGGAACCCTAGTTCATCCTCTGCTTGCTGACTCATTCAAGAACCAGCCTGACACAGAGGAAATGCTTGTCTCCCCCCCGGCAACTGCTTCTTCCTCCATATGTAGGCCTATCTCCTTGTTAATGATGTTGAATTCTGGTTCTAAAGAAAGGAAAGAGAAACCCGAGTCATATGAATGGCTGCTTTCAATGGGCGGGGAGGGGGAATTTCCCAGCGTATGGAATGGAGTGAGTCCGGAATACTGCTCAATGGGATTCACTCAAAGATCACTTGCCAACACATCACAAGTTTTCAGCTAACACTGGGTGGCAGACAGGACTGGATGGAGACGGGGGTTTTCTGGAGCCAAGCTTTCATAGAACACTTTTAATGAGCTTGTCTCTTGTTTCCCCTGCATTGCTTTGCCTTTTAAATTCTGTTTTCTAAGGTGCCTGTCTCATCTCTCATAGGCTCTTTTCAATTTTAGTACATTAAGCAGACTAAGGGCTATTTTGCATTTCGCTCCTAAGAACGGGATGTCGCCATGTCAAGAAGATTTGGCACCACTTCCTTTTAGCACGACTAAGAACTTTTCCCCCATTTCCAGTATAAAATGTGGGCATGTTCTGCTTCTTCCTCAGAGTTTACGTACTTAATTTCACCATTGCTATGCTGGAAGAAGGCATGCATTTGACTGAAGCATCTCTGATGGTGTATTTTTAGCCAGTTTCCCTGGGAAGAGGCTTCCACAGATGGGGAACCAAGTGCAGGTCAGTTCTGTTTCCAGGGCAGCTGCCTACCAGCTCCATCTGGTACGCCAGCTGAGACCCTACCTGCCTGTCTCACCAGAGTGGTACATGTTCTGGTTATCTCCCACTTGGACAAATGCAATGTGCTCTACATGGGGCTACCTTTGAAGGTGACTCAGAAACTACAATTATTCCAGAATGCAGCTGCCAGACTGGTGACTGGGAGCAGGGGCTGGGACCATATAACACTGGTCCTAAAAGACCTACACTGGCTCCCAGTATGTTTCTGAGCACAATTCAAAGTGTTGGTGCTGACCTTTAAAGCCCTAAATGGCCGATATACCTGAAGGAGCATCTCCACCCCCATCACTCAGCCCAGACACCAGTTCTGAAGGCTTCCTGGCTGTTCCCTCAATTGTGAGAAGTGAAGTTACAGGGAACCAGGCAGAGGGCGTTCTTGGTAGCGGCACCTGCCCTGCGGAACGCCCTCCCGTCAGATGTCAAAGAGATAAACAATTATATGACCTTCCATAGATATCCGAAGGCTGTCATGTTTCAGGAAGCTTTTAATGTCTGATGTTTTCTTGTGCTTATATTGTGTTGGAAGCCACCCAGAGTGGCTGGGGCAACTGAGTCAGATGAGTGAGGTACAAGTATGTAAGTAAGTAAGTACATAAGTAAATAAGTAAATGATTATGATGATGATGTCATCCAAGATCTTGCTGTCCTACAGACTAGTCTACCAGGTCCATGAAAGAATTATTTTCCTCCCTTATCATACAAGAATATTTTCTAAAAGTCTGCCTACCACATATTCTGGATGCATACTTGCCAAGGATAATCTAAAGCAATGTGGTATTTTATAGAAAACCACATAATGGAGTGGCTTGTAATGACCTCAGCCATTGCGACTAGGCTATGTGTATGCATGCAGTTTGCATACACAGCATGTAAGACTTTCTGGCATCCTGTTTTCAAAACCTGAAGCTGCATTTTCCCTTGCTACCAAATCTGCATATTTTCTCAGAGCTCGTTTCTTTCACCACAATAGACAATATCTCCCCTCCTGCCAAAGAAATGTCCAAATGCTAAAGAGTAGCTATAACAGTCATTACTACAACAGCAACTTTGAGCTACGAGCACTCTTAAATTAGAATTATTGCTGCAAATGATTTGTATATGTCTTGATTGCTGTGATTACTGATTCTGTAACCATAAATGTGTATTTTTGCAAATTCATGCTAACATCAGGCGCTGCATACAATGAACTTTTTCCCTTTTTGGCTGAGTAGTTTAAATGACTTGTGTCCTTTACATACACAACATTATCGCTGCTCAAAAAAAACAAATTGCATTCATGAAGAATCTGAGTCCCCCTCCACCACTCTAACTAGTTCACACCATTACATGCATAAACTGGAATTCTCAACAGATTTGTCTCAAATTTGTCCACCTTGTGTCACAGTCAACATGCAGATATTCCACACCAAACTTGAGATCAGTTGGCCACATCATCTGGGCATGGTAAACAATTAGAGGTTATTGGGGTTTGTGTGTGTGTGTGTGTGTGTGTGTGTGTGTGTGTGTGTGTGTTCAAATGGTGCCTCTAAAGCACAGGGATGGGGCCCTGCAGATGTTGGACTACAACTCCCATCATTCCTAAGCATTACCCATGCTGGCTGGAGATGAAGGGAGTTGGAGTCCAGCGACATCTAGAGTGCTACTGGTTCATCATCCCTGTTCCCACAGACTTTCAGTGGGTTGCACACTTCCAATTTCAATTATGACTGCTAGCGAAAAGTACTGTTTGCTAGCTTCCTAGTCTAAAATCATTCCATCTATTGGTAAATTCTGATTTTGCAGTCCATTCTGATTGCTTCCTAAATCCTCCATAGTTTACCATCTTATCTGTAACGCACCAGCACCTTTGCAAATGACTTTGTCAACAAACATTGTTAAAGAAATCAGCAAATAATGCCAATGCCAGATTTTTAAAATTTGATCTTATCAGCCAATACTGTCAGTGATGCTGTCAGGGATGGTGTATAGGGAGATTTTTAATGTTTGATGTTGATGTTTTACTGTGTTTGATGTTTTGATTTGGTTCGCCAGATACTCCATTCCTTTCCCACCCATGGCCAGCCCAATACATTTTGCTGCCTGAGCCTGAGACATTCTATATACACAAAATTCTATATACAGAGGCCAGCTGGGCTAGCCATTTAATCTGACTTCAACACTAACATAGCAGCACATATGAGGCTTGCCTTTGCCATGCAGAGCTATCTGCATGGTGCACACACTTTGCTGATGCCTGAGCTACCTCACTCTGCCTAACGATAGAGCTGGCCCCACACCTACCCCAGTTCTGATTCAGTTTGATTATTTTCTGGACAGACACTCAGGTTGCAATCCTGTGCCCTTACCTGGGAGTGAACCTTACTGAACTTCTAAGTAGGCATATCTAGGGTTGTTTTGTCAGTGTCTTTTGGCCACTGGGCAAATTGGAAAAGGTTTGGAAAAGGGCAATCAAAATGATCACCTTCCCTATAAGGAAATCTTACAACATTTCAGGCTTTTTGAGTTTAGACATGATAGAGGCGTACACAATTACTTCTCCATATCCACTTTCTTTACTTCATGCATAATGTTCTCCTATAAGACTCAGGGACATGCAGTGAAGCTGAAGTATGGAAGATTCAGGGCAGACAAAATAAATTAATTCTTAACGCAGTGCATACTGCTTTGGGGGGGTTTTGCTTTTGTTTTACTGTCAAGTGGTATATAAACGTTATGAAATAAATAAATAAATAAAATAGTAAAACTATGACATTTGCTCTCACAAGGGGTAGTAATGGCCCCCAACATAGCTTAAACAGATTTAAAGATTTCCATTTACTGAGAGAAACCTTCTTCCCTCTTTTACCTTCCTTGACTCTGCCCATTAACTATGTTGCCGTCCTCTTGACTTTTGTGCTACCTTTCCTGAGCTGCAATATACATTCTTCCATTATTGCAAACAACAAAACTCTGGTTATATGTCTACTGCTATTTTAGGATTCATTCTACTGCTATTTGCTAGTTAGGTAAAGGTAAAGGGACCCCTGACCATTAGGTCCAGTCGTGGGCCGACTCTGGGGTTGCGGTGCTCATCTCGCTTTATTGGCCGAGGGAGCCGGCGTACAGCTTCCGGGTCATGTGGCCAGCATGACTAAGCCGCTTCTGGTGAACCAGAGCAGCTCATGGAAACGCTGTTTACCTTCCCGACGGAGCGGTACCTATTTATCTACTTGCACTTTGACATGCTTTCGAACTGCTAGGTTGGCAGGAGCAGGGACCGAGCAATGGGAGCTCACCCCGTCACGGGGATTCAAACTGCCGACCTTCTGATCGGCAAGTCCTAGGCTCTGTGGTTTAACTCACAGTGCCACCCGCGTCCCTATTTGCTAGTTAGCCTTTGGCTAAAACTGTGATACTCCAGAAACAAGCACTATGATTGTTATAGATCTTTATTTTGTGAACCACACTGAGAACTACGAGTGAAAGGGTGGCATGCAAATTTAATAAATGAAATTCAGGGCAGGTAAGGCTATCTCTCCATGGCTCCTAGCCACAATGGCTATACGCTGCCTCCATGATTGGGGACAGTATGTTTCTGAATACCAGTTGCCAGAAACTGCAGAAAGGGCAAGTGCTGGTGCCTACTGGATTCCCACAAATATCTGGTTGGCCACTGTGAGAACAGGAAACTTATCCAGATGAGCTATTGACCAGATCCATCAGAACTAGTCATGTTCTTACATAAAGCACTCTTCTATCACTTTAGCAGTCCTGGAGAAGCCCGGGAACTGTAGTTTGTGATGGATGTTGGGAAATATAGCGCTCTGAGGTCAGCACTCTTAACAAACCACAGTTCCCAAGATTCTTTGGGGGAAGCAATGACTTCTTAAGTGATATAAGAGTGCTTTAAATGTATGGTATGGACGTGACCTCAGGGAAGAAGTTTGCAGTTATAGAGGTATGCATTTTTTATCCATGACTCAGAGTAAAAAATAAATATGGAAATGCCTTATGAGTGGCCTGAAGGAGCCACCAGCATTCCGCTTAAACTTTGTGCAACGTCTCACTCGGCATCTTAAAATGCGCTCATTCTTTGGAAGCCTGCATCCTGGGTGCGCAGTAAATTACAGTAAAGCAAAAGAGAAACTTCGAAACAGCTGTCCTTTCCCTCGTTACCTTTCACGCCTTCTCAAGCGCTGAAAGTTTCGGCTGGGCTTGAATTTACTTCGGGAGGCTCTTAAAAGAAAACGTTGACAGAACAAGCCCTGTCTTGAATGCAGCGTAACGACGAGTCACGGGAGAGGGCAGGGAGACCGAAAGGAAGAAGAGCCGTCTGTGCTTCTGTTGACTTTTCCCTTGTCCTGGTCCTGCTCACTCCTGAGAAATCGCAGACAGGTTACTCGCCCTCTGGTTTTACAGAGCATTGATTTCACACGCACACACAAATAAAAATACGAGCACGTTTCCTGACCTCCTACAGGAAGGCTTGAAAAGAGAGCGCACACTTGCACCACCATTAATAATAACAATACTTCTTCTTCTTATTATTATTATTATTATTATTTTATTTTTGTTTTTATAATCCTAAAAGGATAGATGCATGTATATAATGCTGCATAACGCTAGCTGGAGACCCAGAAATCTCGTTTGGCAAGGCGACGAAGGAAAGAGGAGAGGCTTGCGCGCTCGCCATTCTCTCCCGGGTCCCGAGTTTGCATTTCCAAGGAAGCTGAACTGACAAAGCGTGAAAGTGGCCTTAAAGTGGGGCGGGGGGCGCACAAAGAAAAGCCACCCCGATTGCGGAGCGCGGAGGCTCATCAGTATTCGCCAGGCTCGCCTCCCAGCGCCCCTCGGCGCCGCCGCCGCCTGCGCGCACACACATTTGCCCGGCGCGGCTCCTCCCCTTTCCTTAACTTGCTGCGCTTCTAAGTTGCCTCCGGCAGAGTCCCAGCCTGCGCCCCCGGCCCACCTTCTCGCTCCCGCTTCCCCGGACAGCTTCCGACCCTCCCCGCGTGGACTCCGCTCGATCCGGAGGGAATCTCGCCTCTTGCTTCGCTCGGAGAGGACTCCGGAGTCTGGAAAGGTGAGCGCGCGCTCTCGATCTCGAATTGTAGAGTTGCGAGGGGATCGTGTAGTCCGACCCCTTTTAGTGCAGGGCTCTTTTGCGCGACGTGGGGCTCGAACCCGCGACCCCGAGGTTAAGAGTCTCGCTGTGCTATCCCTTCTCCAGTTGCATATGCCTTCCTCTCCCCTTGGCACCCCCCGGTCCTTTCCTGCCTGGGTGGATGCTGTCTTCCTTTGGGGTACCCCTTGCACCCTGGGTATTGATACGGACAGGTTGGGGGGTCCTGATTTGGGATGCGGGAGAAGAGCGACTGTAATGACCTGTGAAGTGTCTCCTCGGAGAGCTAAGTTCCCCAAAGTTCAGTGGGACTCGTTTCCAAAAAAAGGGGGGTATAGGGTTGCAGCTTAAAAAATATACACCTTACAAATAGGATTCCCCTGCCCCAAAACGACATATTTCCATAACCAGCTGACAGTGGGAAACTTTAATTTGTTCTAAATAATGCAGAAATTAATATTTCAACATGGGTGAGAGGATGAATGTTTCAGCAGGTACTTGTGAGAAACTTTATTAAAACTTCTATGGTTTTCGGTAGCTGGGAACCACCAGCTACCAGAGATGTTAAGCAGTTGATACAATTGGAAAATCTTGTTGTCTGTGCCCAGCTTCTCATCATTTCTAATCTTTTGTGAGTCAGCCTCATAACTTTTGCAGAGGGAGACGCGAACAGCTGTCTTAAATACTACGATCAAACGTGGAAGGTGAAGTTGGATTTATGTCAAAGATTAAAAAAACACACACAATCATGCACACCTTTGGAATCGGGTGTTTGATGTGTGAGCTGCAGTACAGCAAAATATTAGTATTTGTGAGTGTAAGTGTGTAATAAGCAAGCAGTGTCCCTCTAATAGGGGTTTAAACTCTAATTTGTCCTGTTTTGAGTTGATATGCAGACTACAGCATACCTCAAGAGAAGGTAGTACCTGTGGGTGGGAAAATGTCTAAGAGCAACCTTCTTAAATGCAGCAGATGAATGGATTGCATGCTTTTGGTTGGGGTCATGTACAAGATAATGTAAATTACTCATATACTGTCAGCAGAGAACTAAAAATGATTTGCACAAAAGCTGTTAAATTTGGCTAAAGTGTGATATATAACAAAAATAAGTAATTTGATCAGAAATAATTTGTTTAAGCAACCATAAGATATCCTGACGCAACGCAGCCAAATTTAAGTCCTGTTGCTTTTAGTGGGGGTGCTAAACCTGTTCTTTAATCTAAGCACTGGAACTTTGAGGATGCATTAATATGCTGCTTAGCTGAGCTCCAATGAACACAGTGCAGTTCATATCTGAATAAACACACATACCGTTGCACCCTAAAATATCTGGATTGTGTCCGCACCCCTCTTCATACAAATGACTCTATTCTGCTATGTTGTGATGTACCGGTAAATTATTCCATATTGACTACAATGCCTTGATTGTTATTATTTATTTGTTTTTAAAAAAATGTTTGCATAAAAGAGTTGAAAATTGGGTTTCTACTGCATGGTTTTGAAGGCAATTATTGAAAACTCCACTTTCTCAATCTCTCTTTCTCTCTCTTTTAGGGTTTCTGTTGTCACTGATCAAGGAAAGGGAGTTTTCATCCCCCTCCCCTCCCCACCACAGAGATTTTAACAGCAGCAAATCTATAAAGTAGAGGCATTGTGAGCTATAGATGACTAAAAGTAACGGAGAAGACACGAGGTCAGGCAACAGGATGGAGCGCATTCAGCAAAGAGTCTGGAAACGTACGCTCCTGGCAAAGAAGAAAGTGCAGAGCATCACAAAGGATGATGTCAAAAGTTACTTACTGAGGAATTTTTTTGTGCTCTTCACCATCATTGCTGTCATTGTCGGTGAGTAATTTTGACTGAGGCAACAAATCTTGAAAAAACATCACTTGGACAGAGCGGTTGCTGTTGTCCACTTTCTTCCCCGTTGAGAAGAACTTGCCGGCTTGGAAAGTTTTCTATCCGAACACTCTGCGTTGTTCAGGAGTTGGTGAAAGTTTCACTGTTGATGGTTAGGTCTGCAGGTCTGACTGCAGTTGCACTGCTCCGTGTTTTAAATTAGTAGAGCTCCAAGGGGGTTAAATCAGAAGGAAAATGGTTGAGTTATTTTACTGATTTCTTTTTTTAAAAAAAGCCCTTAATTAGAAGCCGCTTTTTATGAGCCCTTAATCCTTCTTAACAATTAAAGAAAATTGGCTACTGCCTCAGCGCAATTTCCCAAGGGTGTGTTTCTCTTACGTATTTATTTACTATATTTTTATCCTGCTTCTCAGACCGTTTCAGACAACTGTTGTCTCCCCAAGCAGCTCACTTCAATAAAAAGAGAGTGAAAGAGGCCAGCCATCAGACTTACAAACTAAAAAGGCAAGACTCAAAAGGAAAGAGGAGTAAAGGGAAAGAAAGTTAGAGGAGAAGAAATCAGTTATTTGAGGCCAGAACGAAGTGTTGAGTTATAAGCATTTTTTATACCCTGTTTGGGTCAGGCTGGTCTTCCTTTGCTGGTGTTCATGCTTAAATTCCAGTTGGTAGCTCTTAGAGCAAAGTTTCCAGTGTCTCTTAATTTTGAACAAAGTCAAGATCCACAAGTGAGAACATAACAGCCTCAATATTAAGCTATTTTTCCCCCTCACAGTTAAAGAATTACAGCCACACAGCCAAGGTCAGGAGTTTATGGTTTGTTTGGTTTTGGGGTTTTTTTTAGAAATCTGTGTGTTACTCATGCAATTCAGTAGCTATTAAGATATATACCTGCATAATGGTTATGGAAGGTAACCTGATTGGGTTTTGTTTACAAAGCCGATTAGGGCAATGTTTGCACTTTTTATATATTTTGAATATCTCCAGTGAGATGATAGAAAAAGGTTGGCTTGGGAATTTTCCTTGCTGTGTTTACAATCCACCTATATATATATATATATATATATATATATATATATATATATACACACACACACATACACACACTTCAGATAAGAATTTATAGTGGCCTGAATCCACAGAACTGCGTGGTCGCTAGTTCTACAAGGCAAGGAGACTTTGGGCTGGTAGTCCCCATTTGCCTCATGGCAAATCTCTTTTTGAAACTTTAAAAAGATACAGCGTTCTCATCCATCATTCAAATGAAAAACCATTTTGATCCCACCAGGCCCGTCCAACTCCTTAGGCACGCCTAAAGTAGCTCTCTGAGCCATCACTGTCGGGTTCCTTTTGTGAGAAAATATTTTTATAGGAAGAAAAGAATTCACGAAAGTGTGGTGTGTATGAAAATATTTGATTTCTGGGGTTCTGCTTTCTGCAAACAAAAATCATTTGCACTCTGGAGAGTCGCATTCTTTATTTTGGAGAGTATCAGGTGTTGGTTATTATTAAAAGCAAGTCAGAAAGGCTGCCGAATACAGCGAAAGAGGCTGACCCAGCTTGCTTCCTAAACCTCTGCAAAGATTGCACATCACGGATATATTCCTGTGGGAATTTCACAAGGATGTTAATAGGGGTGTCTGGTTCAGTGAAAGATGCACAGAATCCCAGACCACTTTCCCAAAGTTTGCACTACGTGCAGATTGTGTCCCAAACTTTCCACCCTTTTCGTCATTACATTTTGATGGCCCAACTGGGTGTGAACCAATGCAGTTGGGCTTGCAAGCAAAAACTTCTAGTTAATTTATGCCACGATTCGTCTTAAGAAACAAATTGGACTCCCAAGAGGAAGCTTACCGGTATGTCTTCGAGGGAGGATGTGGTACTTCAGGAAAAAGTAAGGCTGAAATCCTCTGACCCTGAACCTGACTCACAAACTGATTAGAGTTAATATAATGTACTTGGACTTCCAAAAAGTTTTCAACAAGGACCCCTGAGTAAGCTTAGTAATTAAGGAAAAAGAGGAGAGGTTCTCCTGTAGATCAGGAATTGGTTAAGCAGGAAGCATGGAGTGGGAATGAATTGACATTTATCTGAACAAAGAGATGTAGAAAAATTAGTACGCCAAGGATGGGTATTGGAACTTGTTCTTTTAACTTGTTCGTGAATGACTTAAGAGTTCCACGCTGGGAATAATTAGAAAAAGGAATTGAAAATAAAACTACCGATATAATGTTATTATACAAATGTATGGTGTGACTGCACTAGGAATACTATGTATAATTCTGGTCACCTCAAAAAGGATATTGTAGAGTAGGAAAAGATTCAGAAATGGGCAACCAAAATTTTCAAGGGGATAGAGTGACTCCTCTAGATTGCAGTGTGTGTGACATTTTGATTTGGTTTAGAGAAAAGGCGAGTAAGAGGTGTCATGAAAGAAGTTTATAAAAAGGATGCATAACATGGAGAAAATGAGGGGGGGAGTTTTTATCCCATTCATAACACTAGAAGAGGCACGTCCAACAGGTAGATCATGATCTACCGGTAGATCACTGGACATCTGTGGTAGATCACTGGCTCCCCACAAACAACTTTGACCTTAACACCAAAAAAACAGGGCTTCCCCACCTAAGAAAAGCTAAACAACTTTGACCTGAGCCCCCCAAAAGGGGGTAGATCACTGCCAGTTTTTAACTCTGTGAGTAGATTGCAGTCTCTTGGGAGTCGGCCACCCCTTCACTAGAACATGGACATGCAATGAGGCTGATCATTGGAAGATTCAGCACAAATAAAATGAAGTACTTCTTCATGTGGTGCATAGTTGAACTATGAAACCCATAGTTTTAGGAGGCAGTGGTAGCTACCAACTTAGATGGCTTTAAAAGGGTTCGGAAAATTTGTGGAGGTGGCAGCTATTGATGGCTACCAGCCATGAGGGTTATTCTCTGCCTCCATGGTTGGAGGCAGTAATGTCATTGAATCCCAGTTGCTGGAAACCACAGGAGTGGAGAGCGTTCTTGTGTTTGGGTCCCATTCCCTGGTTTCCCACTGGCATCTGGTTTGCCACTATGGGAGCAGGGTGCTAGACTAGATGGGCCGTTGGCCTGATCCTGCAGTCTCTTCTTATGCTACCTGGGAGCGTGCCTCACTGAATTCAGTGACCTATGTAAGGCTATACTGCAAATAAGGTCTACAGGATGTCAGTGTTTAGGTATTGGAAATGTAACCATCAAAATCCTAACTGTTTCTATGTGGATACACCTTTCATTAAAAATAAATATTGGTGAGCAATTTTAAGAATTGCATTTCCCTCAGAATGCAAAGACTGTCTCGCACGCCTTTCGGGAAATCTCTCTTCGGGCATTGAGTAGGCTTAGATTTGCATGGTTTTAACAGATTCTCAATCTAGCACCATATATGCCCTTAGATTGGTCCCCGTATAGAATCATAGACTAATGGATTGATATTATCTAACACACGCACACACATTTTGTTGTGGAACTCTAAGCAATCACAAAAATTGTCTGGAAATCTATGCCAACAATTATTAAGAGTGGCTACAAAATTAGGGGTGATAGCTTCAATGGGCAAAACTTTCTGCATTATAAAAAGGAACCAAAAGGACAGGTGGATTCACTTAAAGAAAGTCCTTTCATGCCCAGTTCCTCTAAGGATAACTTAGATTCACCTGCTGTGCACCCCCCCAAAAAAAAGAGAGATTCTTTAAGCTCTGTGTGGGGTGTGGGATGAGCCGTTGTTTTCCCCAGAACCAAGCTGCAAGCTGAACATCAGAACCAACAGCTATTTTTGCTTGGTGTTTCCATTTGTCACAGTAAAACAGAAATCAACATTGTACATGTTTGAGAAACCACTGGGGATGATTTCGTATGAGGTGCTTCCTGTCTTGTCAGTCATATTGGACAGCACAGAAACCTTGAATTGCAGCATTCGAAGTTTTGATGTGAAATCTTTCTAGTGTGCTAACATATTCTGAAATGTCTATTACAATTTGGAAATGAGCCTTTCTAGTGTCCCCCCCCCCAAAAAAAAAACCACCTGAATGATGTTGGTAGAATTGCAGGTCTTGGCATACAATCTCACAGAAACACTTCTTCAAATGGTTCATTGGAGGACTTAGTTTAAGTAACTTAACTTTGCGGGGTGGGATCCATACAGTAGCAGTGCCTATACAGTGATTTAACGTTTGAATTTTGCGGAAATCTTCCTCCTCTAAGAAAAAGGGAGGGAGAAAGAAGACGTGAAAAAGAATGTTGCTGATACAAGGACTTACTTGTTGAATTTATTTGTTTGTTGGAATTTCTATACCACTTAATGTTTTAAAATACATGAGCAATGTGCATTTTAAAACCTGGAATTACGGTATATGCAAAATACAATACAGAAAAAGAGCAAAATATCTTCAACAGCACAGGCAACTATGGCAGGGAAAGCCTGCATGAATAAGAAAGCTTGAAGCATAGGTCTAAAACATAGCAATGTAGACCCTGATCAGACATCCATTCTATAAAATAGTGTAGTAAAGTCAAATCAGCAATATATGATAGTCTTAAGATGTTGATTTGCAGGCTAATTTAGTTTGCCTCACTTGCAAAATATCTGATTTTGTACCATGGATGTTTTGTAAATGGATCAACCAGGCCAATTGCAATGCAATCTTACATTGTCATCTACTGGAATCCTATGAGTTTGGGTTTTCTCTCTCTTTCTGCATGGATATTGTCTATTTTAATCAGGAATGCATCGAGCAAGAATGGGGGACCTGCGGCCCATCAGGTGGAGTTAGACTTAGCTCCTATCAGCCCTAGATTTGTGGTCAGTGGTCAGGGATGATGGAAGTTGGAGTCTAACAACTTCTGTAGGTTATGCAACCCGGGTGCAGAGCATTGAGAATTCCTTTCTGAAAAGGAGAACCTTTCCTACTGGTCATGATTCTTTGGGGTGAAGGGATGAAAACTGGAAAGAAGTGGTGAGGGAAAATATGGATATTTGTACTTCACAGAGGAGCGCTATTTCTAAATAGAGAGCCGAGCTTGAGTTAAGGGCACTTTGCACCATCAGGCAAAACCAAGGAGGAGGAGGAGACCTAATGGTTAACACCAGGATGAAAAGATTTTTCTCATATAAGGAATATTTTGGTGGGTTTCATTAATGCACAGTAAAATGGAAGCAAAGATACCGTGTGTGGTGAGCAATCTGAATTGTGAGTGCCAGCAGCATGATAACTATGTAAATATTCAGCCAGGCAATCCTCATTACAGCCACTGTTAATTCATGGTGACTAGCAGGATCAGTACAGTGGTACCTCTGGTTACATACTTAATTCATTCCGGAGATCCGTTCTTAACCTGAAAGTGTTCTTAACCTGAAGCACCACTTTAGCTAATGGGGCTTTCTGCTGCTGCCGCGCCGCCGCCATGCGATTTCTGTTCTCATCCTGAAACAAAGTTCTTAACCCGAGGTACTATTTCTGGGTTAGCGGAGTCTGTAACCTGAAGCGTATGTAACCTGAAGCGTATGTAACCTGAGGTACCACTGTATAGGGAAAAGTCTCATGTTCCTGTGGCCAGATCCAGCACCAAGCAGCAATGGTAGCATAGAACCTGAAGCACCTAAAGCAAGGGGCACTTCATTTTGCAGGTGCTTTAAGGTATAGCAGTTCTGCTGTGATGAGGCGGTAGCTGCCACCAGTAATGATTCTGCTATCCTGTCTGGTCTAGCAGTGAACAACAGAATCATAGAATCATAGAATTGGAAGGGATCCTGAGGATCATCTGGTCCAGCAGTTCTCAACCTGTGGGTCCCCAGATGTTGTTGGACTACAACTCCCATCATCCCTAAGCTCTGGCCCCATAGGTTGAGAAAGGCTGATCTAGTCCAACCCCTTGCAATGCAGGAATCTCAACTAAAGCATCCATGACAGATGGCCACCCAACCTCTGCTTAAAAAGGAAGGAGATTCCGGCACCTTCCGAGGGAGTCCTAGCCAGCATAGCAATGGTCTGGGCAGATGGGATCCAATCGCATCTAGAGGGTCACAGGTTTCTCACCTCTGCTCTAGCCAAAACTTTGCCATTTTTCTCTTTCTTTGGAGCAGGTTGTAATAAACTCCACCAACAATCAGTAAGAAATACCTCCTCCATTTTATAATCACTAACCTGCTGTGAGGCAAAGCGAGGCTAAGAGGCAGTGAGGGGCTCAAGAAGACCACATGAACTTTATGACTGAGCATAGATTTGGACATGGATTGCCTTGTGTGACATCTGCACCACATTGATTCTCTAAATTTTAATGCCCCATGATTCCTATAAATACCTCCCAGGTAGCCAGGTCAGTTCCATCTCAACTTATCCAAGAGGTATGTTGCCTTTTGCAGCTCTTGTTTTGATTTACTGCTTGCCTCGTCTCCAACCAGCTGACCTCCAACATAGTTTATTTTTGCTTGCTCTGTAGTGAGATAGCTCTGACTTCAGTGTGAGACTTAAGTTTGGCATCATGTTTTGCTCAGATTTTAGCACCTAGTTTCACTCAGGGCTTAAGGCCTCAAAAGAACATTAGAACTGGTGACCTTTCTGGAACTATTTGCCTTAAGCTCCAGTTTAACCAATCAGCACAGACTGATTGCAAGCTTAATTTAAGTAACTCCTTTCATCGTTCGTGGAAGGTTGAAAACTATTACAGCTGAACTAGAAACATCAAGTTGTACATTCAGTTAACTTAGTATAACATTGTAATCCTTTGAGCTCTGTCTCTTGTGCCTTCTTCCTTTTCTCCTTGATGGACATTACAAAGGCTCAATCCATTAAGGCTCCCCAGAACTTGTTGGACTTCAGCTCCTATCAGCCTCATTCAGCATGGTCAATGGTCAGGAATCATGGGCATTGGTCCAGTTTGGTGGGCACTTGAGGGTCCCAGGGGAAGCTGGCAATGCTGAGGTAAAGAAGAGAGTATACAGAACCTTGGACAGCTCCAAGGGGCCCTACTAATACAGCTACTGGAGATGATGTCCCTTGTGGGGCCAACCAGAACCTTATGTAGGCTGACCAGACCTGTCGTGTGCTAGGCTTTACCTCCCTGAAAGAGCAGGCTGTCTGGTTGAAGAGTCGTCCCCTTATATTGCAGTCTATGGCTTCTGTGAGACTAGGGAGACAGATATTTTGCAGGGGCTTTTCCTGTGAGTCAAGGTATGGTGGTAGAGCTGTGTTCTCTGGGGCCCTGAATGAGGTGCTGGTGTTCTTCCCTCAAGGAAGATGCCTGAACCTTCTCCTCATCAGTCCCCACTATGCATGGCTGGGTCCCCAAGTCATTAGTCATGACAGAGTTCAAGTCCAGCAATATTTGGAGGGATGCAAGTTCCCCATCAAGAGCTTGGACTAGCTTCCTTATGAAGAAACATTGGGATGCTTCTTAGTTTAGGGGTGGCAACTACATCTGAAGTTTATGACATTATGAAAGTTTATGACATTATGAAAATTCTGGAGTGAGTTTATTTGGTGGTTTAGAGGGAGGCAAAGAGGAAGAGCCCCTGCTTATGAAATGCTCTCCCCACCTGGCACCAACACTACAATATTTTTAGTACCAGCTCAAGACTTTCCTTTGCTCGCAAGCATTTGATGTTACTGTCTTTTGTGCCAGCTATTTTTTCAGATTTTGGTTTGGTTCTTTGGATGATGTTCCTAGCAGGGCATGGTTACATTTTTCTTTCCTTGTCTAGTTATTCTTCACATGGAATAACATACAGAACTGATCCCAAGATGGTGCTGTGTTGCTAAATAAGACAGATTGTTCAAGAATGGGTTTTGACAGAGAACAGTCTTGCAATAGCTATTAGCTAGGAAAGTTAGCAAGATGTTAACGATCTTTGTATTACCTACTATCCAGAGGTATACTATCCTGTTTTTGTAATATACATATGATTACTGAATGCTGGAACAAACAGAGAACAGTTATTTTTCTCCGTTAGGCTTCCAGGGCATCATCTTGGCTGCTATGTGAGATAATTTAGCACCACCAGCAATTCTTATATTATTAGTTTCCACAGAAAGCTCTTCAATTGCCTTAATAAGGAGGGAGTTGTTTTATTGCAAGCTCATGCTTATTTGTGTGATTCTTGACTTTATACAGTATATTTTGATTATTTTTCATAATGAATAAGAAGAACGCAATAGTTTGCTAATAGCGGCCTGGTTCACAACCACACCGTGGGTGGTCTTCAGGGCCATGTGTTGGGTTTGCATGCTGTGGTTCCCTCGCTCATTTCCTGCTTCATGAGAACTATAAATTGCCATGATGACTAATAGGGCAAACTATGGGGTTTCTAAAATACTGCTATCTTATTGGAACTCCCAGCAATCTCCTAACCAAGTCTACACCTTTTTAGCTCCAGAAAAACAGTAGCCTATTGGGCACTCCCAAATCATTTCCTGGGCTTTGAGCAAACTATTGTTATTATCAGAATTGGAAAGTCAGTTCAAATTGATATCCCATTCTCAAAACCAAGCTGTAGTTTGAAACAGCCATAATTTTAAAAAATTGGGATGTCTTGTCAAACTATAGTTATTGCAAACCAAAGAGGGAACTGGTGCATAAAAAAGCAGGAAAGAAAGGAGGAGGTTACACAAAAGCCTGAAGAACAGTCCGGGTAGACAAAGCTTGGTTTGGCCACAACATCTGAACTTATCCACTGAATTGGATGTGTATGTTTATCAAAGGGAGTGAAAAGAATTGGACGAAACTGAAATAAAACCAAGCTAAATCTTACTGGTATTGGACTTCCTTAGAGGATCTAAGTGGGTTATATGTGTAATAAATAAATGGCACGAGGAGGAATTATATTATATTACCCTTTCATTCTCTCTGCATAGTGCACCTCTTTTAAATAGTTTATCCTTCCAGCCATAAATTCATCTTTCTCGTTAGTTTTTGTCCATGTTCTTCCAGCTGGTTTATTTTGGATAGGAAGCATCATTATTTCTACTAAGATAACACTTCTCTGACACTTCCCTGCACAAGAGGACATCATTTTGGATGACATATCAAAACGAATTCCATCTCAAGTTTGCATTGCTTTTAAAAACCACTCCTCCTTTTTCTTCCCATCTCTCAGTGTATCCTACCTGGAAGATTTGGGTCTTATGAGAGTTCCGAAAATCTAGACCAGTCAGCTGCTAATTACATTTTATTGTGGTAAAATAACTCTTTTAAATTATGTAGGACTGCTAGCTTTACTCATCTTAATCAGTAGATTAACAAACTAAGCAATCCTACACAATGCTTCCGGGAAGTAAGTCCTATTGAAGTTGGTGAGACAAATCTAAGATTGTACTGCACAGGTTTAACTGATGTGAATTAGTGCCACAAATTTAAACAGATGCAGGACAACTCAAAGAGGCATGTATTTTTAAAAAATAAAAATCCAGACTGCAAAAACAAACAACAATAAACAAAATCGGCAGGGTTACATCTTGTAATTACTAACAGAAGGCAATGCATGTAACATATTTTTCATCTCTGTGTAGGTAAACATTTATGTAACCTCCACTGCCAACTTGGACCTTTTCTGTATTCTTCATCATAATATTACAGTGTGTGCTTAGTCTCCTTTCCATCATTTGGAGAGAGGCTGTAATAAATGCTGCTGTATGTGCCCCTGATTTGCATGTGAGATAAAATCAAACTACACTATATGAAAATATAATATTTTATCTTTGCCTCCAGCTAATTTAAGTTGGTACATGATTTTTTTTTCTGCCAGGGCTTTTTGCCACAGCTCACTGTACCAAGAAGACACTGTTAAAAGTTCTGCAGTTGTCCAATTTTGTGCTTATTACCCTGCAAGCAGCCATGTAGTCTTTGGGCTCAGATGTGTTGTTGAAATATGAAAGGAAAAAGAAAACATTAAAAATAGCCTTCTGAGCTGTAGTTTTTGTTTCTTTGACTTTAAATTATATTCCCCTTTTCTTGGGTCAGAAAGAAAAGCTGGTTTTAGTTCGTTGGATAGGTGGTAGACACCTAAAAGAGGAATCAGACAACGCGGTTCCTTCAATGTAATGTTGAACTACAACTCCCAGGCAGCATGGCCAGTGGCCAAAGATGATATGGGTTGTAGTCCAAGAACATATGGAGGGCACCCTATTGGCTACCTTGATCTAAATGTATATGAGGCTGTTCAGAGGTTTGGGCTGAAGTGTCACCAATAGATCACTAAAATGCAGGACTCCATTATCACCTTTTCATCTGAGTCAGATGAGGTGATGGAAGTGCTGAGCGGGTGCCTGGAATCAGTAATGGTTTGAATGATGGGGTAAGAAATTGAAGCAAAATACCAATGTTGGAAATCCTGCTAGTTGGGTGTTTTAATGGATCTGATAAGTGACGTTCAGCCTTTTCCTGGATGGGGTTGCACTTCCCCTGAAAGACCAGTTTTGCAGCTTAGGAGGACTGTTAGCTCTGGCCCTTACTTTAGATGCCCAAATGCTATCAGGGAAATGATTTGCTTTCTCCAGCTCCAGACCCTCTTGTCACACTTACCCATGCCCTAGGTGAAGATTTGGCTGCTACAATGTATTGGGCTCTCCTTGGAAACATCCCCATGTTCAGAACATGGCCACCACATAATTGATTGGCATGGGTGGCTTGGAACACGGGCTTTCTGTTTTTAAAACAGTGCTCACCGGTTTCTGGTTACGATTCAGTTCAAGGAGCTGATGTTAACATATAAAGTCCTATATGTCTTTAAACTTGAATCCATTGGCTCAGGTTGGGTTCTGTGTATTTTTATGGCCACAGTTGTGTTTCAGACAGTATTTTATCAGGAAATAAATAAATGGCACCTACACCAAAATAGGGCTCAAATGCTAGACATTGCCTGCAACTTTGAAATATAAAGAGACAAAGTTGACATAACATTTATCACATTGTTTAAAGGGGGGGGGTCTTCCCTATCTTGGGCTCATGTTATCTGAAGGACTGCCCGTTCCAAACCTCCCTGTTCTCCACCCCTGAGGACCCCTGAGGACCCCTGAGTACCAGTTCTCAGTGCCATCACCTTCACAGGTGAGGCAGGTATCAATCAGATATACCACAGAAACACCATATAGATATTTAACATTAATAATTATTTTTTAAATGCTGTGTATGATTTGGAGAAAGCCAAGTACCTCCAAATGCCTTGTAAGGATCATGTTTGGTATTTCTAGAAAGAGTCCATTAATAAAACGTTGTGCCTGCTGGACCAAGTCTTTTGTGTGACCTCAGTCCTATTCCCCCTTCTCCGTCATGAAATTCCCTTTCTGATCAAGCTTCTAAATTGTGCAGGGAAGTCCACCAGACTCCGCACTGCAGACATTCAGCCGGAAGCCATGTTGGGCTGACATTGATAACAAGATGGAGGGTGGAGAACCGAGGATCATGTCCTCCCCCCTTGCCCCGCTTTTCACAAGTGGGTAGGGTTTTAGTAAGGCCTGCATAGTGAATGTGTGGGAAAAGGCTATCAGAGTGGAACGGTAGATATCAATATTTGTGGCAGAGGGTAAGGTGCAAATAAGTGGGCTGGTGATGTTTGTGTGAATGTGGACAGGTAAGGGTTTTTTGTCATAAAGGTAAAGGGACCCCTGACCATTAGGTCCAGTCATGACCGACTCTGGGGTTGCGGCGCTCATCTCGCTTTATTGGCCGAGGGAGCTGGCGTACAGCTCCCGGGTCATGTGGCCAGCATGACTAAGCCACTTCTGGCGAACCAGAGCAGCGCACAGAAATGCTGCTTACCTTCCCGCCGGAGCAGTACCTATTTATACTTGCACTTTGATGTGCTTTCGAACTGTTAGGTTGGCAGGAGCAGGGACCGAGCAACGGGAGCTCACCCTGTCGCGGGGACACAGTCTTGCTAATGATGCACAGCTCTGTTACCTTTTTTCACCTGAGTTAGGAGAGGCAAGACAACTTCTTGGTCAGTTTGTGGTTCTGGCAATGGACTGTATGAGGGCCAATGAGCTGAGACTGAATCCTGATAAGATGGTGGCCCTGTGAATTGAAGGTTCCCACGACTGGGAATTGGGCAGGTTCTGAATGGGGTTGCAGCCCCCTATAAGGAACAGCTACGTAGTCTGTTGGTACTCTTCAATCTAGAATTGCCAATGGAAATGCTGGTAGCCTCCATAGGGTTTGAAGTGCTCTTGGCCAGCTTTAGTTGGTGTGCCATCTAGGGCCATTCCTAGCCAGGGATAACTTGGCCACAGTGATCCATGCAGTGGTAACTTCACAAATTGATTATTGCAGTGCACTCTGTGTGAGGCTGCTGACTGGAGCAGACTGGTGAGTACATGTCACACCAGTTCTGAAATAGGTACAATGGCTACCAGTGTACTACCAAGCCAAGTTCAAGGTGCTTGTGTTAACATAAAGCCCTACACTGCTTCAGACCAGGATACCTGATGGAGTCCCTACTCCCTTATGCACCTGCCATTGCTGTAAATCTGGCTGGGATGCCCTCCTAATAGTGCCACATTGTTGTGCGGCAACAAGTGAGAGGGCTTTGTCATCTGTGGCACCTCAATTTGTGGAATGCTCTCCTCAGTTAGGTCTGCCTGGTGCCTTCATTAACATCCTTTAGGCTACCAGGCTAAAATGTCCATCATCTCTCATTGTAATCAAAAGATGGATGATGGACAAGTTAGTTGAAGGACTATTGGAGAAAAGGTTCTAGGTGCTTTAGTTTTCTTTATTTCTCTGCTGGGTTTCCATGTGGGTTATTGAAATGGTTTTATTGACATTTATTGTTTTGTACATGATGCCTCCTCCCCTTTGTGTGAGTCTCTTAGAGACTTTTTTGGACTAAGAGACTAGCAAGTCAATTCAAATAAATAAACGTTAAAAACAGCAACCTTGATGGTTATCCACCACCTATATAAACGTTTTAATTGACATAGACTGGGTTAATTGAAGGTAGAATTGGCTGGGTTATTTTCACAGATGTGATAATTTTGTTACTGCTGTAAGTAGATGGTTATTTCATTGCTTGTCTACTGCTTTTTTATTATTTGCTCTTGGATTTGTTTTAAATGAAAAATGTGATACAACTTTAATAGAATAAAAGAGGATGCAATGTAGCTACATGGTTTCATTGCTGTTCAGGAGCGTCACAGAACCCAGTTGTTTGACCCATAGACATTTCATAGGATAGGCCAGGCATCCCCAACCTGCGGCCCTCCAGATGTTTTGGCCTACAACTCCCATGATCCCTAGCTAACAGGACCAGTGGTCAGGGATGATGGGAATTGTAGTCCAAAACATCTGGAGGGCCGAAGACTGGGGATGCCTGGGATAGGCTTTTAGGTGTCATCAGAGTTTGGTAAAAGATCTGATTTTGGATAAGCAAGTTTACATGCAGCAATCTATTGAATGCTTGCCTCAAAATTGGTTTTATAGTTCTGTAGTTTTATCATTCTGTAATTATTCATCTGATGTGCTTATTGTTTGTCATCATCTTGCATGGCCTGTGGTCAAACAAATAGAAGTATTACCAAGCTGTAACTAATAACATGGCAGAGCTGCCTTTTAAAAACTCACTTAAACCTAATGTCTGTCCATTAACATGAAAAAGTATAAAATAGAATAAAAAGGCTTTATATTTTGGTGGTTATACACATCTGAATCTTTTAAGTACATTTCTAATTCTGCATTATATTAAAACTGGAATAAATTGTTCTCCAGAAAACAATCAGGGCATGGATTGGGGTTTTTTTTAATTATATGAAAATATGTGCTTCTCCTGTGCTCTCTCTGAATATTTGCTTTTTCTACCCCACTGATGTGAAAGGTCAAGGCAAAGCCTGCAGAACAGCTTTGGGGTATTTCTTACAAGCCTTTGTTCCTTTGAAAGGCTCGCAAATTATTTGGAAACCTGAAACTCTTACTGAAAAGGGCTTGCTCCAGGTCTAGTCAATTTACGTCTGATCCTTTAGTGTGCTAAGTTCCTCTTAAGTGATACTCAGCACCTCCGTTTCTCTGTAGAGTATAGTTGTACTGTTGAGGGTCAAACGGCTCAGGATTTCTTTTTGCAGAAATAGCCAGCATAAGGAGTCCAGTCTGGGTTGGGATCCCGGAGTAGAAGACAGGGTGCCTTAGTCATTTACCTCCTGCTGTGTTCCTGAGCTGGATTTAGGGACTTTTTTCATCCTGAGAGCCGTATTCTCTCCCAGGCACTCTTCTGAGGGCCACATGCCCATGGACAGAGGAAACAACAGGTGGAGCAATGCATTCAAAATTTACCTATGCGCAGTAGGCTAGTTTCTACAAGCACATACCCGGGAAACAGGATGAGCCATAGCTCAGCTATGAAATCTGAAGTGTGTTCTCTATGTTGTGCAGAAAGATGTGCTATGAGAGTTGTTGTTGTTTAGTCATTTAGTCGTGTCCGACTCTTCGTGACCCCATAGACCAGAGCACTCCAGGCACTCCTGTCTTCCACTGCCTCCCGCAGTTTGGTCAAAACTTTTATATGCCTGTTGTCTTTGTCCATGGAGTTTTCTTGGCAGGGATACTGGAGTGGCTTGCAGGTTCCTGCTCCAGATGGATCACGTTTGGTCAAAACTCTCCACTATGACCTGTCCATCTTGGGTGGCCCTGCACGGCATAGGTCACAGCTTCTCTAGTTATTCAAGCCCCTTCGCCACGGCAAGGCAGTGATCCATGAAAGGGGCTGTGAGAGAGACTGTAGCAAAAGAGAATTGATAACAAAGCATCCGGCAGCATCCAGCGTCTTCAGATGGGTGAAGCCCTTCTTACGCCCAAACTATGTTCACATCAGCAAGATGCAAAAAAAAAGCTTACGGACCCTGAATTTGCTAAGAGCTTTCTTTATATCTGGGCTATTTCTAGATTCTGTCTGAAACACACACTGATCTGTGGGAGTGGAAATGCACGCAGCATCTTTTTGCTCTTCTGCCCAAAGTTGCACATTTAGCATAGTTAGAACTTAGCACACAGCTGTTGCACATTGCAGAGTTTGTAATTTAAAGTTGTCCTTCCATAGCCACTGAGGTCAAACAGGAGCAAGTTGCCCATTACACTTGGCACAGATATACGTCCTTGGGGACAATCCAGGCTGGTGCACAGGACCACCTTGCGTGTGCTGGCCATAGTGCTGAGCAAAACATCAAGGGTTCCTTGAGGTGAACATGCCTCATGACCTATTTAGGATGAGAAGGGAGAATCACTACAGAGAGGTCTGAAAAGATTATTTCCAAGCTTCTGTAAGCAGGGCACTCATGTGTGGTGACCTTCAGTGCAAGGCAAGTTACTGTAATGAAATAAAAGTTTGTGGGGTTTTTCTCTTCAGGGGCAAGCCCCATGCAAGTGAACTCGGAGCATGCTTGTACTATGGACAAGCAGGTTTAATGGCCAATGCCTTGCTCCAAGGAACCTTGCATAAATAGCATAACTAGAGGAAGGTCAGGATTGTGGTTCATGATTGCTAAGGTGTTGGTGAGGAAATACAAAGCTACCTTAAATGTGTTCAGGTTTAGTGTAAGGAAGGAATTTGCTGGGTACGCCCGGAACATTTGTCCACCTTCTTTGAGAAATCTTGCAGAACAGGTGAGGTAGCACAGGACTAGAGCCAGGTAAATGTTGTCCCAGTCTCCAAAAAGGGGAGAAGGGAAGAGTTAACGGAAAATATTTTGATACTGGTGGAGAATATAATGGAGACAATTTATAAGCATATTGGTAATAATGCAGTGATTAGTAGGAGTCAGCATGGATTTGTATCCCAACAGATTAATGTTACCTTCCTTTTTATTGGGTTACTAGCTTAGTGGATTGTGGGAATGCTGTGGATATAATTTATCTTGATTTCAGCAAAGTATTCAATAGTTTGTTGAGTGTATGCTCAGAGCTTCCATGAGCCTCCTTTCAGTTGACCCTGAATACATGCAAATTGTGATGAAGATGGTAGTCTCATTTTTTTTTCTTACTTTCTCCCCAGGTATCATCCTTGGATTTGGTCTTCGGTCATATCACTTCAGCTACCGAGAAGTGAAGTACTTTTCCTTCCCAGGCGAACTCTTAATGAGAATGTTGCAGATGCTGGTTTTGCCTCTCATTGTGTCCAGCTTAGTAACAGGTACACTCTTATCTTTTCCCATTTTCTGTTTTGCAGCAGCTGCTGCTTTCTCTTTCCCTTTCGCCAATGTGTTGATAAAGAGAAAGAAATGCTTACAGCCGAGTGCATGAAAAATGGCTGTGGCGTTTGCCCTCCTAGGTGGGTCATAAGGAAAGGGTTAAATGAGTGGGAAGTGAAAATTGTCAGTAAATTAACAAAATAAGAGAAATTTCCTCTCAGTACTGTTCCTTCTGGCTAGGCTTCTCTCAAGACTCTGGTCCCAAAGTTCTGCTATGAGTTTTCTCTCTAACCCTTCAAGCTTTACTTCCTCTGACCACGAGCCTAAACCCTCTGCCAGAACAGATTTTGAGCTCTCTTTCTCCTTGTTATTTTGGCTTTGCGGCTTATCTTGGGTATTTCACAACTACACACACGGGCTAGGTAATCACTTCACAGATTTACCCTTCCCCCTCCTGGTGTATTATTTTCCCCAACACAGGCGTATCTATCTGATCCCGCCTCAAGCGTATTAATTTGGATCCCGCTGCTGCCGTCGCTTTTGTGATGGCTAGGCGCAACAATCTAAATATCCCACCACAGGGTATTGATTGTATCCCACCTGCGTAGAGATGTTATCCCAACACTTGCATACCATTTTTGTAGTGGCCGGTATTGTTGTTATCCCACCGCTGCCGACACTTTTGTGGTGATCACACAGGATCCCCGGACGTTTGACAGTCTATGTTAACAACTGTCTGGACTCAGTGTGTACCCGAGAGAAACAGGTTGGTGGCAGCGGGGAAGCGATCATAGTGGTGGCACAGGGATCAATAGATCGTCAAACGTCCGGGGACCCTGTGTGATCGCCACAATGGCAAACTCCAGGATTCAGGTGCTTGGTAAAATAATTCAGGGGCCATCAACATGGTACCTCTGGGTGCAGTGGTCCCCTTGGGGTCTTCCCTTGGCACAAGAAAGCCTTTGAGTACCCCCTCATTGAGCACCCCTTGATCACAAAGTGGTGGTTACCTTTTTCTCCCTTGAAATGCTCTTTCTCTTGGAAATGAAGGCCGCAGGAGAATGATGGCATTTCTGTGATAGCAAGGTTTTGTTTATACATACAGTGGTACCTCGGGTTACAAACACCTCGGGTTACAAACATTTTGAGTTACAGACTCCACTAACCTGGAAGTAGTACCTCAGGTTAAGAACTTTACCTCAGGATGAGAACAGAAATTGCGCCGCGGCGGCAAGGCAGCAGCGGGAGGCCCCATTAGCTGAAGTGGTACCTCAGGTTAAGAACGGTTTCAGGTTAAGAACGGACCTCCTGAATGAATTAAGTTCATAACCAGAGGTACCACTGTATTTATACAGGCTGAGCGTAAGTAGAAGAATGGAAGAATGTGGAAGACATTTTAGCCGCAACAAACCCTCTCTGCTACCACAAATAACAAAGCAGGAAAATTAGGATTTACACACCCCTCCTAAAAATAAATTAATAAAAGGTTTGCTGCATAGATAGTGCTTTGAGTATTTTGACTTGTAACAAAAATATTAGACTATTTTACAATACTGCATAAGAATCTTCTCAACTGCTTTGTGTGACTGCAATAATATTATTTTTAAAACAGAAAATATCCTTCTCTCCTTCCTCCACTCTTTTATAAATACAACAAATATCAGAGGGAGGAAGAAGACCCATCATTGAACCAAGAAAGGTGTGAGGGATGAGGGGCAGTGGGGTGGCTGGCAAGAAAACAGGATGGTTTCCACTTTCCTTGAGCAGGGACGACAGAGTGGCTTTATCAATGGCTTAGAAGTATCTTTGTAGACAGTATTGATGTCCATATGCTGTTGTCTGCAGAAGGCAGCTAGTTTGTAAAGGGAATGAGGTCAGTTGTCCAGTGTGAATAGGTAAGGATTCTTCGTTCTGATGTTTCAACACAAGTTGTTTGGCTGCTTCGCGTGGTGCAAAGAATCCACTTCTTTTGTCTGGATACAAAGTCTCATTGAAGCAATACAACTTAGCAGTAAGTCTTTTGAGGGCCATTGGATTGTGGCCCATCTCTCCCCACAAACTACCTTCTCAAAGTGATTCTCTATGAAAAGATAGATGGATCCGTCTATTTTTGCTCCATGTCCTTTTTGCATCTGTTCCTTCATAAGCTTATTCCATTTCTGCACTAATCTGTGTTTTTTTTAATCTGCATCAGAAGTCACGTTTAAATACATATTGGAATATGAATCTTTGGATGCATTTTCTCGCAAAGTACACATTTATACTTGTATAAATGCTTTACAAAAATAGCTGAGAACTGTGTTGCAATATTCAGAGCAGCGTGAAATCTGAAAGATAACTGTCCTGTTCTCATTTTGCAGAGGCTGGGGGTAGGGGAGTGAAAATCAACTCTTTTTAAATAGAGCATTCCTCAAGCACCCCCACCTCTGAGAAATCTAGTTGCTAACCTTGGGCATATGTTAGATTCCCCCCCCCCGAACTTGAATTTTTATTTATTATTTGTTTGTTTTTTTAAAATGCAAGTTACTTGCATGAAATGGCAGAACTTTGCTCATCTCTGTTTGTTTTGTGGTGTTCTATACAAATCTTGATACAAGGCGTTTCTGAGATATAGCTATAGATATGCAACCTGTTCCCCGCATTCCCATTCAGTGAGAAACTCCAGAACCAGCACTCCAGGACTGAGAGTCGAGCTAGTCATGACAATAAATATTATGCATTGCATTTCAGCCTTTTGAACTAAAAATAAAATAAAAAATAAGGCAGCCACTGGTGGAGAGAGCAGGTTTAACCACAGTCCAGGGAAGGGGTCCTGTACTGTTGAAAGTCCTGCCCCTGGAAAGCTGTTTTTTTCCTTAAGCAGAGGGACATTTAATTATTAAAACATTTTTATATGGTGCTCCACGTTTTTCCTCCCATACCAAATAGCAGCCTGAGATGGAGCTCGCCCAGTGGATGTTCTCAGGAGCAGTTTGTGTGCCATTTGACCAATTCTGAGACCATGAAATTTCAAGTCACTGCACTGAGGCATGAAGACTAGGGTATTTCTTTCCTTTCTCCTGCACCCTGCGATTGTTCTGCCTTCTCACTGCAGCTTCGTGCTTCCCCATTCCATGCACTCTCAGATGCTCCAGCAATGATTACTCTTTTTCTGAGAGTAAGTGATGAGTGTCATTGTGGCCACAAAACTCCCTTCCCTTATGCCACGTGACTCTACCGGACCTAAATTCCTCTCCCAGGAACAGCAGGAGTTCCTTGCTGAACTTGATGTGTGGCTGCATTCAGAGAGCACCGTTGCCGCAACTGACAGCATTTCCAACAAGGCCATGAACTCTGACCCTCATTTCCAGGGGTCAGAAAGTTGTGCCCGATTCTGGAGCGGGAAATCTGGTTTTTCTGTGACACCATGACCCCTGCCTGCAGCTATAGGAGAAAAACTCCATGGCTCATGTTTCAGGGGAATGTCATCTTGCTGGTTTTAGTTCTGAGTCCATCTCCAAGCATCAATCTTATCGTCAGAGAGAATCTAATTCCATAGACCTGGAAGAACTAGCAGCATTTGGAAGAGCTGGTCCAGGACTGAGCTGAAATGGCCTCTCCAGTTTTGCCACCCCATTCAGAAGCTTTGCATTCGGGAAGGTCATTTTGATGATTTTCTGTGGCACAGAAGAGAGGGGGCTGACATAGGCAGTAATTGCTATTGGTGACCAGACTGTTTCCTAGTGTGGGGCGATCACCATTTTGCCTCCAGGATTTCCTAGATTGAGGGCAGTAGGTCACCACATTGTGCCGCCATTGAGTCAATGAGAGTGAGGGCAATACTTCCAGCTGTCACTCTTGGAAGTTGGGGGATGGCAATGCCAGCAACCAGCCACTGGAATTCCAAGGAACACCATTATCATCACCAGGACAGTAAAACAGATGGTAGGTAAACCTAGAAGGGTGGTCTTGGGAAATCTCAACCCTCACTCAGAGCTCCCAAATCCTGAGCCAAAAGTTCTTTCAAGGGAATGTTTGACTTGGCCCTTGTTAATGTGGAAGTCCCAAATTTATGCCCTGTCCCAGTGTCACGGTTCAGTTCACCGGCAATCGAAGTCCCGGCAGGGGACGTCAGGACCGGGAGCAGGAACAAGGGTCCAGATGCCAGGAGTCAGGAAGCCAAGAGTCTGAGGGTCAGAGAGCCTGGAGTCAAGAAGCCAAGAAGCCAAGGGTCCAATGGTCAGGAAGCAAGGAGTCACAAAGTCAAGGGTCTGAGGATCAAGAAGCAAGTAGTCATGAAGTCAAGGGTCCGAGGATCAAGAAGCAAGGAGTCAAGAAGCCGAGGTTCAAGGATCAGGAAGCAAGACGCCAAGCTCAGCAAGGCAGGAAGCGTGTTGCTGTGGCAAAGAGCCAAAGGGAAATGCTGACCTTATATCCCTTCCCAGCTCTTGCCACCAGGTGCTGTGAGTTACCAATCTGTCTCACCTGTGTGGCCGCGCCTTGCCTCTTCAGAACAAACTTAGGAAAACCCCAGTCCTGTAAAGTCCTATTGGTCACAGGGCCTGGCTCCTGCACACACACCTGACACCCAGTCTCAAACTTACTACATAGTCTTAGCTAAGTTTTTATCTTTCAGCCTCAACCATTCATCTTAAGCATGAGGATAATAATGCTAATCTATCTTTCAGAGTTCTTGTAATAATTATTAGTATAAGATATACTAATCCTTGCAATTTATGGTCCCCTGAGCATAAGAAAGCCCATCAGCTGCATATTGCAATATGCTCCACTTTCCAATGAAACCCCTTGCTTTGGGTTTGGTGGTTCCAGAAACTTTATTATTTTATTTTCTTTGAGAAAATATGCATCCTGCACTTTCACTGGAAAAACAGTGCTCAGTTTATGGTGGACTGCAGTACACAGAGGGTGCACTGCTTTCAGCCTGTTGAGTTGCAAGTTGTGCGAGTTGTATATGTGGCGCATTTTGAGAAAGCATTTCATAGATACAAAGCTGAATCTATTGTTTGGTCATACAAATCCATCACTGGTTGCAACTCCAAGAAGCCCTGGGGGCTCGCTCAGCACCCACTCTGTGGGGCCTTGGATGCAACTTCTGGGTCTCATCTGAGGCCTTGGGGGGGCCTTGAAAGGGGTGTCCTAGGCCTCGCAGGGCCTCCAACATCACTTCCGGGGGTGACGTAAAGCCATGACTTCATGTTATAACGGCACCGCTGGGCACCCACGATGTGGGGCCCAAGTCAGCGCCCTGAAATCCTTTTGTTCCTGACTGGGGAATTTGATGTGGGAGAGAGGGCAACCTCAGCCAAATGAACATAATGATCTTTCAAGCCAAAGATGGCTACCCTTGTAGATATTGTTGAACATTGACTCCCATCAGCACCAGCCAGAATGATCAGTGGTCAGGGATGATGGGAGTTGTAGTCTAACAACATCTGGTGTGCCACGTACAAGTGTCTGCTATTTCCCTGCATCAAGAATCTGCTTCTGATGTATTATTTTTACTAGTGTATTAATTTTCTGCTTTAATTGCTCTGCATCCCAAGTGACCATGCCATTTGACTGGCTTAACAAGTTACTATGATGAACTCTCCTCTAATTAAACTAAAGCAATTCACCGAATTACATCATGCTTATTTAGCATTAGGAGGGCCAACAAAATCATCAACTGGAAGTTCTTTTTTCAGAAGCAAATCGCCTTTAATAGTGGGTGACTGATGTGAGTGTGCATGCGCCCCTTTCCCTCCTCCCTGCCAACACTCATTTCTTCTACTTTTTGTGAATGAGCAACTTTAAACCTTCTTGTGAGATGGGGGGGGAAATGCTAATCAAGATGTCACGTCCATAAAAGGATGGCCTTTTCAGGTTTCCACTAAGCAGGTATCAGCTGTGTTTTGTTCCTGTAAAAAAAATAAAATTGTGCTGCTCTTCTCTGTGCTCCTGCACTTCTGATTCTTGGCACTGGGACAGTAAGTTCTTTGTGCTCTGGTATTACAATGAGGCTACCAAAGAGAAAGAGCCTTGGTCCGAGGCTGTCAGCTGTTACTAATCACTGTTCTATGGCTTGCTGTGAATCTCTGCGAGTCCTTACCTCTTGCTCTGCTTAGCACACATAAAGAAGATAAATTACGCCTTTAGTTTCCCTTCAAAAAGCATATTGTGTGGCACATTCCAATACAGTGAGCAAAAGACGGAATCATGCAAAGAGTTAAATTAGTATCTAAACAGCCCCCGCAGCAGGGCTTTGCCCTGGCAGATGTGAGGAACAGGAAATGTACTGCTGGGCTGGGCATCCAAAAAGTTCCTTGTTGCTTTGCACTTGACAAGTTTCAGAGGATAAATCAGTTGCAGCTCAAAGCACAGCATGTCTGGAGTTTATTTGGAGCCTGCCTATGCTCTTCAGCTATAGAACCTGGCTTCAATGCCAAGGGCGGCGTTATGGAAAGTGATGATAAAAAGACAAGAGTGAATCTGAGCATGTACAAAATTATCTCGAAGTAATCACAGTCTCTCCACAAAACATGGCATTGGGGAACCTGTCTGAGGGCAAGAGGCCTTGACCCCGGTGAAAGATTCATGAACCGTGGTCCAAATGAAAATATCTCTACATCATCTTCATTGGAGGTCTCTTTGTATTACATGCCAGGTTTGTTTTGCTTTGTTTATATTAAACAGGGTTAACGATGACAGCAGTTAAAATACCTGGCTAAATAACTTTTTTTTTCTGGCACCAAAATATAGCAACTTAGGCACCTAGTGAGCCTTTTAAGGGAGGGCATTCCAGAATTGGGTTTCTATTAGCAAATTAGTAGCTGCTTTGTCATTAATCCTCCAAATAATTCGGAATTACAGTTTGCAGATCAAATTTTAAACTGTATGCTCACTATTTGATAATTTCCTCTACACCCGCATCCCATAAGTATAGGGAACACTTCAGCATGTCAACCTGGCATTTTCAGCAGCTAAAAGTGTTGTTTTTTTAAATTCTGTTGGGCGCTGTAGGTATAATATGCCAGCGATACAATATCCATAGGTTCATCAGGAGAGCTCAGTGAAGAATATTACAGGTGGACCACTACAGTCCACTGGTGGGCCGCCAGCTAATTTCTTTTCACTTGATAGTTGCTGAGATTTTGACCCTATCAAGGCACTTTTAATGTTCTTATACACCTTTCAGGGATGTTTACTGAGGAAATTGGAAACATACAATGATCTACCAGTCTTCAAACAACCCTATTAAAAAAAAAATCTAGAGTAATTAGGAGCATCCCAGGGAAACAAGGGACTTACATTAAAAACATATGGCATACACTAAAAACAGTAAAGCAATTCAGGTGCTATGAATAGGGGACAGTGAACATGTGAACATGTGATGGGGACAAGTAGAGATGAGCACACTAGCTGCATCCCATCTCTCATCCTCTTCATCACCTTCCAACTGCTGGTTGTCTAAAGCATGGACCTTTTTATATCTGCAGAGACTCCCTGTGTATCTTAAAATGCTTTTGTTTTGTTTTTTTAATGCTATCAGAGGACTGTTGTCCTTTGTCTGAAATGACAACAGACCTCCTGGTTGACAGAGTCTATGCTAGGATTAGCTAGCTGTTCCTTCAGACTTGTACTAGCTTTGTCCTTCACATCCTGCTCTGATCATGGAGGGATAGTCTAGCACAGCCTTTCCCCAAGTCCTCTAGATGTTGTGGACTGCAGTTCCCATCATCCGTGACCATTGTCCCTTCTAGTGGGAGTTGAAAGGAGGTGGCATCCAAAACATCTGGAGGGCACCAGCTTGGACAAGGCTGGTCTAGCAGATCAGGTCAGAGTCCCAGGATCTCATATACTTTCCAAAAAATCAGCAAAGCCTTTACTGCTCCTGGAGCTGATTACCTCTCCCATGCTTTACCCACTTCCTGAAAAGTGGCAGTTCTTAACACTACTCTGCTTCTCACTTAACTCCTACCTGATGCATTGCCTGCAGCAATAAGAAGGAATCAGGAAGCAGAAGACCCCACTTATAACTCAAGGGGCTGATTAGTTCAGATAGAACTCTTGTCCTGTGTCCATTTCATCTCTATTTAAATGTGGAATTTCCTCTGCACCTGTAATCAAGTATCTGCAGGAGCACTGATGGAAGGATGCACTCCCACAAGTTAAGATGCTTGAAGGAGGGGTATGATGCCAGAGGAGGAGAGGACAGAGGGTGAAGAAAGAGTTGTGAGTGGAGGGGAGCATTTTCCCCATCCTTTGGACCCCCTGGGAAACTCATCAAACCTGCTGCACCTGGAACTGGGTGTGGAGAGTGCAGCTGTGGGCAGCCGAAGAAAGTACCATCCTCCTTGGGCATGTCCATAAAAAGCAAGTCCAGAGTAAGAGACTAGGGTGATGTCAGCTGTTTTCAGGAACTCTTTTCATTGGTGGGTGAGTTGAGAGTTTGTTTGCACCCTGGGTTCTTACCTGGAGGCAGAGAGGAAGGGGTATCAGAAGGAAAATGAATTGATATTTTTATATATTACAAACTTTATATTAATGTAACATTTTCATATGTAGCTGTGTGTTTTTGTAATATCTGTTTAAGTTGCCTGTTGTTTCAGCTTTCTGCACACTGCTTGGAGATATTTTTTAATATATTAAGCACTATAGAAATTAAATAATAATGAATACATATATTAGAAACTATATGGAAATAGTAAAAGATTATACCAGCTCAATATTTGGGGGTAATAGCATCTACAGCCTGTGTATAATGTGATGTTTTTACTGTATGTTTTTAATATATACAGTGGTGCCCCGCAAGACGAATGCCTCGCAAGACGGAAAAACCGCTAGACGAAAGGGTTTTCCGTTTTGAAGTTGCTTCGCAGGACGAATTCCCCTATGGGCTTGCTCGCAAGACGAAAATGTCTTGCGAGTCTTGAGATTCTTTTTTCGCTTTTCCCCCTTTATCTAATCTGCTAAGCCTTTAATAGCCTTTAATAGCCTTTTAGCAGCTAATCCCTAAGCCTTTAAGCCTTTAATAGCCGCTAAACAGCTGATAGCGCTAATAGCGCTAATCCGTCAATGGGCTTGCTTCGCAAGACGAAAAAACCGCTAGACGAAGACTCTTGCGGAACGGATTAATTTCGTCTTGCGAGGCACCACTGTATTCATGCGTTTCTTTGTACAATTTTTAAATTAAAATTTGTGAATTATAACAATTTGTACAATTTTTGGGAACGTGACCAGCTTCTTTTGTAGATAAGAAATTACAACATAAGAAGTTCAAGCACAAAATAATTGTGTTATATAGCATTTGCAACGCATTCCAAAAACAGACATACCATCTCTCCCAATCCAAGGGTAGTTCATGTGTATCAAGGGAGAGAGGGGAAGCTTTTATCTCCCCTGCAGTTGTGCTGTTATAAAGCACACCATGTCTCAAATTTCAAGGGAGAAAGGTAACATAAGAGCAAAGGAAGTCACTTTATATCAAGCCAGACCATTGGGCCATCTGCATCAGTGTCGTCAACACTGAAGTGGGATAGCTCAGTCTGTAGAGCACAAGACTCTTAATCTCAGGGTTGTGGGTTTGAGCCCCATGTTGGGCAAAACACTCCTGCATTGCAGGGGGTTGGACTAGATGATCCTTCCAAATCCACAATTTTATGATTCTATGATATCTGAAGTTGCTGGGGATTGAATCTGTGGGTGGGGAGGCAGTTGCTCTATCACTGAACTATGACCCTTCCCTCTTTGGACTGTAGCTCCATGAGAGAGCATCTGCTTTCATATTCAGAAGCATTCTATCTTTGATACTGTTGATAATATAGCCATCGTGACTAGTAGACACTGATAGCTTTATTCTTCCATTTATCTCATCCTCTTTTAAAGCCATCAGAGCTGGTGGCTGTAACTTGTGGGAGCAAATTCCGTAATTTAACAACACGCTCTCTGAGAAGAAATACTTCTTTTTCTGAAAGCCACGCCATTCATCAGGGTTCTCGTATTACAAGAATGCTTATTCTAGTACAGTGGTACCTCAGGTTAAGTACTTAATTTGTTCCGGAGGTCTGTTCTTAACCTGAAACTGTTCTTAACCTGAAGGACCACTTTAGCTAATGGGGCCTCCTGCTGCTGCCACGCCACCGGAGCACAATTTCTGTTCTCATCCTGAAGCAAAGTTCTTAACCTGAATTACTATTTATGGGTTAGCAGAGTCTGTAACCTGAAGTCTATGCAACCCGAGGTACCACTGTATGTGTATTCACAGTTTTTTTGTGATGTACAGACTCTAGTTTCACTCTCATGCTTCTATTTGCTAGGAGTTGCTGCCCTGGACAGCAAAGCATCAGGGAAGATGGGGCTCCGAGCCGTCGTCTACTACATGAGCACCACAATCATTGCTGTCCTGATTGGAATTATCATGGTGGTCATCATCCATCCAGGGAAAGGGTCGAAGGAAAAAATGCACCGAGAAGGCAAGATTGTGCGAGTGACAGCCGCAGATGCCTTTCTGGACTTGATCAGGTAAAAATGCATTTTCTGTCGTATAAGCAAGGTAATGAAAGTTACAGCATATGACTGAATTTATTAACACCGAGCTATCAATCTCTTTTCGCTCTCTTTTCCCTTCAAAATGGCACCCCCGGCTCAGAAATAACTTGTAAACATAGACCCCCAAGGCTTATTGATCAGGCTTTTTAAGCTTCTTAACAATGTACTGTGGGGTTTACTAATGAGATTTGAAGCAATTCATAATTCCCCCATTCAGGGTCAGCCCTACTATTTGTTGTTGTTTAGTCGTTTAGTCGTGTCCGACTCTTCCTGACCCCATGGACCAGAGCACGCCAGGCACTCCTGTCTTCCACTGCCTCCCGCAGTTTGGTCAGACTCATGTTTGTAGCATCGAGAACACTATCCAACCATCTCATCCTCTGTCATCCCCGTCTCCTTGTGCCCTCCATCTTTCCCAACATCAGGGTCTTTTCCAGGGAGTCTTCTCTTCTCATGAGGTGGCCAAAGTATTGGAGCCTCAGCTTCACAATCTGTCCTTCCAGTGAGCACTCAGGGCTGATTTCCTTCAGAATGGATACTATTAGGCAGAGTAATATGGCTGCCTCAGGAAACATAACTGAGGAGGTGGTATTCACCCACCATTTCCCCTGAGTTCCCTAAGCTGGTCTACTCTGCACTATCGAAACTCTCCTGCTGTGCTCAGTATGGTGGAGGAAATTGTCCCATCACCAGTATTGAGGTAAGATTCAGGGGCCAGCCACCTTTGATCTCAATAGTAGAGCAATGGCTTTCCATGCAGACAGTACCAGGCTCAATCCGTGGCATTTCCAAGCAAAGCTGGGAATGTCCCATCTGGAACCATGGAGAGGTGCTGCATGTTGATGCTAGATGGACCCATGTATTGACTTGTTTAAATAGCAGCTTCCTATGTTCCAGGGCTCCAGTCTGATTCTGTATGTAGAATGGAAAAGTAAAAGAAGAAGGTAGTTAGCATAGGACTCCTTGACATAATAACAGGATGTCTGTGGCTTTTTTAAGTTTAGAATTTTATAGTACTGACTCAAATAAAATTTTACATAGAATTTTTAAAATGGAAAGATTACTGTAGGACTTTGTTCTAACTTCCTGTTGTGGACATTTCATTCTGGAAATCATTAATGTACAAAATGTAAAAAATGTACAAAAATGTACAAAAATGTACAAAAATGTACAAAAATGTACAAAAATGTACAAAAATGTACAAAAATGTACAAAAATGTACAAAAATGTTGCGGATTGTGATATGTGGATTTGGGGGACACCATCTTATCCTTTATGTTGGCAAAATGCCTTAGGCAGACCTGCCCCAATTCTCCCCACAGCTGTGCGTGTGAAGAATTTGAGAATTTCTTCTGTGGGTTGACTGTGAACCTGTTGGAACTGTGATTTCAAATAATGCTCTGGCTCTAAGTTTTGGAGGGTCCCTTTCTATACCCTCCTCCTTCAGCGGCTTTACTTTCTCACTGCAAAAGTGTTGTTTATATTCTGAATCAAGGAAGACGTGTATTTATTATTTCTATTGTCTAACCAAAGTAAACTTGAGGCAGGGTAGATTTGCAGCATGCTCTTGCTCAAAAGGTTGAGGAGAAAATCGCTGAGATTAATTTGGTGAATTGCAAAGAAGTAGCAGTCTTTTTTAAAAAGAAAAAAGAAAAGGAAAAAAGAGAGAGTAAATTGATGCTAGTTCAATATACTGCTGAGACCATATGCCTGTGGTAGAATACATGTCTCATATTCAGTCCCTCACATCTCCCATTAAGAGGATCAAGTAGCAAATGATGGGAAACACCTCTGCCCCAAGAACCACTGCAAGTCACTATAAATTATCATCACTAGGTGGACAAACAATCTGATCTAGTATGGTATGGAAGCTTCTTATGAGCATAAGAACGTAAGAAGAATCCTATTGGGTCAAGCCAAATAGATGACCATGGAGCCCAACCCTATACATATTACCTTTATGTAAACCCCACCAGCTTCAATAGGGCTTCATCTTGAAATGATAAAAGATGTGTACTATTCCTCAAATAGTTGTTGTTCTTTCTTCACAGAAACATGTTCCCTCCGAATCTGGTGGAAGCCTGCTTTAAACAGGTAACGATGTATGGTTTTAATTACACCTATCTTCATCCGGGAGCTTCAAGTAAATCTTCTGATGCAACTGAGTAGTCTTAGCCATTATGTTTTTGTAATGCCTAGAAAAGACACGGACATAACGTCTCTCCTTTTCCCCATCTCTCACAGTTCAAAACAAACTATGAGGAACGGACACCTAGTATAGCAGTTGACTCAAACGAAACATCTGTCCTTGCTGGCATTATAAACAATGTGTCCGAAGCAATGGAAAACCTAACTCAGTTGAAAAAGGAGATGATCCCTGTTCCAGGGGCTGTAAATGGAGTAAATGCACTTGGACTGGTTGTGTTCTCAATCAGCTTTGGACTGGTGATAGGGAACATGAAGGAGCAAGGACGAGCATTGAGAGAATTCTTTGATAGCCTTAATGAGGCTATCATGCGCCTCGTATCACTAATCATGTGGTAGGTGTTGAATGCTACATTTGTTGATCTATCTAGCACCATCCGTGTGCATGGCATTTTACAGAATACAAGAGGAAATATCCCTTCCCTGCCTAACATTCTCCATTTATTTGCCATTAATTTCCAGTGCGGCTAAATAACAGAACAATCTCATGCATGTTTGCTTGGAAGTAAGTTCCTCTGTATTTGGTGAAGCTTACTCTCATGTAAATGTGTTTAGGATTTCAGCCTTAGCCCCCTTGAAATGTGTCAGGAAATTTCTGAGTGCGTGCAAATAGCACCACCAAAATATACACACCTAGGCTTCTCATTGGATAGCCGTATATTATATTAACTGTGTGGTTTGTTTGTAGGTATGCGCCACTTGGTATCCTGTTTTTGATTGCTGGAAAAATTGTTGAGATGGAAGATATGGGTGTGATTGGAGGGCAGCTTGCCATGTATACTGTTACTGTCATCATTGGCTTGCTCATCCATGCTATTGTAGTGCTCCCTTTACTCTACTTCCTAATCACTCGAAAGAACCCTTGGGTCTTCATTGGAGGATTGCTGCAAGCTCTCATCACAGCCCTGGGAACATCTTCAAGGTAGGAATATTCATAGCCAAGATCAAGTTTGATTTTGAGTGAACGGGGTGAGTTCACTGAGTTTGCTTATGCACATACACCATTTTAATAACTCCACTTTTGCCTCAACCCAGCTCTAGTCATGTTTTAGGTAAAGGTAAAGGGACCCCTGACAATTAGGTCCAGTCGTGACCGACTCTGGGGTTGCGGCGCTCATCTCGCTTTATTGGCCGAGGGAGCCGGGGTACAGCTTCCGGGTCATGTGGCCAGCATGACTAAGCCGCTTCTGGCGAACCAGAGCAGCGCACGGAAACGCTGTTTACCTTCCCGCCGGAGCGGTACCTATTTATCTACTTGCACTTTTGATGTGCTTTCGAACTGCTAGGTTGGCAGGAGCAGGGACTGAGCAACGGGAGCTCACCCTGTCGCAGGGATTCGAACCACCGACCTTCTGATCAGCAAGTCCTAGGCTCTGTGGTTTAACCCACAGCGCCACCCGCGTCCCTAAAGTCATGTTTTACAAAGGGAATTAATATGACAAGCTGTACCAGTGTATGGATAGGGAACTTCACATAATGTTTACAGCAGTGCATTGAGTTTAGGCCAGGAGTGGAGAACCTGATGCCTTCCAAGTGTTGTTGGATTGTAGCTCTCATCAAACCTGACCATTGACTATGCTGGCTTGGGCTAATGGGAGCTGAAGCCCAGCAACATCTGGAGGGCCAGAGATTTCACATTTGGGTGCACAGACCAATGGACATCCAATTTACACTCATGGGTCTGTTCTGAAATGGACTAGCATTGGATACAGCCCATGGTTCCTGATCCAGTAAGTGTGCATCTGGGACTACTTTATATCCAGCGCTCTCTACTTTGGCACTAGCTTTCCAGATCTAAGGCTTTCAACTGAAATGACAGGGTGTGAACCAGGACACATCTGCAGGCAACTCATGAGATCCACCACTGAGGTATGGGCTCTACCAATAACACACAGGCACCCAACTATGTGTGGAGATGCTCTTAGCTAGATTGGGGCACTGGCACACAGTTGAACATGTGAACTAATTTCATTTAAATAATAATATTTTTTAGGTAATTTGAGGAGACAGGAAATCTCTGTCTGCCGTCCTTGTTCTGGGTGGCTCCATAATGTCAGTAAAATGTGTATAGCCATCATCCATATCAATATTACCTGCCTTTTCTGATGAGTTAATTTTTCTCCATTTCCCCCCTTTTGGCTTTAGTTCTGCCACCTTGCCGATCACATTTAGGTGTTTGGAAGAGAATAATGGAGTAGATAAACGCATTACAAGATTTGTGCTTCCTGTGGGTGCTACTATTAACATGGATGGTACAGCTTTGTATGAGGCACTGGCTGCAATTTTCATTGCACAGGTTAATAACATGGACCTCAACTTTGGACAGATTATCACAATCAGGTTTGTAAATGTTGCAAAACCTTAGACGTTTGCATGGGCTGCTTTTTGCATCATATGGTAGTGGGAAAGACATGTGATAGGAGCCACAGTATATTTCAATCATTATGCCCATGATTGAAAACATTGTCATTATGAGTTAGCTCCAGGTTTTGTAAATCCACTGAAAGCAATAGGACTTAAATCATCACTTAACATAGTGAAGTAGCTCACTTCTAGGGGGATGGGTATCACAATATAGCCCTCACAAGCTAGACTGTACAAAGAAGAAGAAAGAAAAGGATCGCCATAATGTTGAATAAAATGGGGGTCCTTGAATAACTTAATGATTCAGGCTGAAATTCTATGCACATTTACCTGGGAGCAAGTCCCATTGAACTCACTTCTGAGTAGGCATGCATAGGATTGGGCTATAATTCTCTCCCATTGAAATAGATCCCTTTTTATCAACACAGTTCAGCATACTTCCTTGAGCCTGTTCTGTACTCATTTGAGAAAATCTTCAGTGATTCCTGTAACTTTAGTAATTTTCATAATCAGGGGTAAAGAGTAAATGATGATTCCTTGAATATCATTGTTATCATCAGATTTTATTGGCCAACCAAATACAGGTTATAGGCAAAAGCAAGCACACGTCTCAAAAACATATTATAGCACATATGTTTAAAGCATTATAATACATATATCGGTTTAATCTGCACTTTGCACCCCAAGTGTATTCATGTTTGCTCAGAAGTAAGCCCCAGTGAGTTCAGTGAGACTTGCTGCCAGAAAAGTGTATATAGGATTACTGCACAGTCTTAATCAGCTACAGCAGGGGTGGTGGAGAACCTCCAGTCTGTGGTACAAATCTGGCCATTCCTAACAAACCACACCCATCTGATGTCATATGCAGTATTCCATCAGGTGTGGGGTAGCTCTGTATGTGACTACAAAGGAACATTTGGGAGCTTGAAGTCAGCTCCTGGTTGTTCCTTTGCAGGAGCTAGGTGTGCCCCAATCAGTCATCAGCCGAGTTTTTCCCCTCCGTTTTATTAGCAGTTTCAATGTAAACCACTTTGTGCTACTAATCCCTGTACAAAGCAGGCTTGAATTAACCACCCATCAGCTGAGTTCAAGGCCACAGGAAAGTGCTTTGACAGCCTTCTGCTCAGTGCAACAACTGGATGGCACCACATCGTGGAGCAGAGAGGTGTCCCTAATGACAGATCTGGCTCAGGCATTTTGAACTTGTTGCCTTCCAGCTGGCTGTGCTGGCTAGAGATCCAATGTGGTGTAGTGTTTAAGAGCATTGGTCTCGTAATCTGGGGAACCGGGTTCGCTTCCCCGCTCCTCCACATGCAGCTGCTGGGTGACCTTGGGCTAGTCACACTTCTCTGAAGTCTCTCAGCCCCGCTCACCTTACAGAGTGTTTGTTGTTGGGGAGGAAGGAAAAGGAGAATGTTAGCCGCTTTGAGACTCCTTCGGGTAGTGATAAAGCGGGATATCAAATCCAAACTCTTCTTCTTCTAGATGGGAGTTTTAGTCCAAAACATCTGGACAGCACCAGGTTAGGAAAGGCTGATCTAGAGTATGTGCAAATTTTTCTCATAAGACATAAAGGAAGATGGGAAAACATTTTTGTAAAATGATAGATAGATGATAGATAGATGATAGATAGATAGATAGATAGATAGATAGATAGATAGATAGATAGATGATAGATAGATAGATAGATAGATAGATAGATGATAGATGGTAGATGGTAGATGGTAGATGGTAGATGGTAGATGGTAGATGGTAGATGGTAGATGATAGATAGAACAAAAACACAACCTATGTGTGTGTTTAAAAATTAAAAGCTCTGTGTGATTGTTTTGGTGTCTCCTTTCTCTGAACAGCATTACGGCTACAGCAGCCAGCATTGGTGCAGCAGGAATTCCTCAGGCTGGCCTCGTCACTATGGTGATTGTATTGACATCTGTTGGTTTGCCTACAGACGATATCACCCTTATCATTGCAGTGGATTGGTTTTTGTGAGTATTTCTGCAGTGTAAAGTATAGGCTAGTGGGCATTCATGAAAACTGAACTTGCAAGTCATTTTAGTTAATTTCCCCATGAATGTTTTATCAATATTCAGTTGTATTGCATAGGATATAAAAAAATGATCTTTTTAACTGCAAAGCAAGCCAGCACCCATTAGGATGTTCCCCATGCCCTGAAAGTATTGTGTTTCTCAAATCTCTGCTCACTCAAGAAGCTTTCTGGATGATGTTGTGCCAGAAACATACTTTATTTCATCAGTCCTACTTCATAGAGTTGTTGTGCTGGGGAAAAGGATAGCCCCTTCCCACCACTCCATGAGCCGAAGGTTAAGAATCTCTGCCTTAGAGGAAAGGATCAGATGGAAGTGTTACAAATAAATTTCTTTATATACAATTATATGTTCTGTTTTGTTACTTCAGTAAAGAATTGCAATGTTAAATACACTGCAGATTACATCTTCCTTTCCTAATTTCAGTGAATCAGTGTAATAATGTACTGTGTGTATTGGGGCTTTGGAGGGCTGGGACTGCCTAGCTTGTTTAAATTGCAAATTGTTCTATAGGGATCGTCTGCGTACCACCACCAACGTTTTGGGAGACTCTATCGGCGCAGGGATTGTAGAACACTTATCGCGGCATGAATTGAGGAGCAAGGATGCTGAGATGGGTAACTCTGTGATAGAGGAGAATGAAATGAAGAAGCCTTACCAGCTGATCTCCCAAGAGAACGAGAATGAAAAGCCCTTAGACAGTGAAACCAAGATGTAAGGTAGAGGAACGATACAAAGCACTAGATACGCAGAAAGCGTACACTTCCTCCAATCCTTTCTGTAACTTGTCCGTTTGTTCCTCATCTCTCTCTATATATACAAGCAAAGCACTGAAGAAGTTTAGGGCTTAACTAGACATGATGAGAGACGTGAGGTTATATCCAGTGGTGTCACTCAGCTGTTATTAAGGCTTCCATCAGCAGGAAGGGAAGCTATTTTCAGCAATTTCCTCATAGGCCTAGAGCCCTTCTCACACCCTATATCTGCTCCTGAGAGTTGTGGAACCCTCCAGTGCAGCATTTCGCTGCACTCATTTCGCTGATGGAAGCTTCACTGTCAGTTCAGTGACGTTACTGGATAAAACCCATGGTGGCTACATGCAAGGTCTCTTCGCCCCCTTCTCCTTGTGCTTGCATCTAGGGAAGCACAACACGTATTGTGATGTCATCACTGTGTGCATCGCCCTGCATCCCATCCTGTGTGGCCGGAGGACGGCAATGCACAGCACAATGACATCATTCCTTGTGGTATGTTTACCTGGATAAAGGTTTCAGGTGGCATGTGGATGGAGAGGGGAAAGATTAAACGGCTACAGCGCTACATCTACTGTAATGTCTAGTTAAGTCCTTGCTGAAATATATACCCTATTACTTAGTAATGAATGTGTTATATGATTGTATCCCATTAAAATAATAATAATAAGATGAAATACCAAGCATACAACATTATGATATGATGTGATGTGCTATGGGGATGGGATATATTGTGTAATCAAATTACCAAGAATATTCAAGTGCACATGCTGCATAGTCCTGTAAATGTGATCTCACTTTATGTAAGCTGAAGCAGCAAAGCAGACAAGAAATCTTGAAAAGGGGGGTTGTTTGTTTGTTTGACTGTTACACATTCTTCACACCAGGAAGGCTGTAATCCTATACACATTTACCTGGGAGTAAGTCCTACTGAATCTAATGGACCTTACTCCTGAGTAGACACATATAGGATTGCATTGTAAATTTACTCTTTACACTTGATGCTATTCTCCAGAAAAGTGAGTAGCAAATTTTGGTTTCTCTTTTTAAATATATTATTTCCTTATTTTATTGCTGTTGGAGCACTAAAAATAGGGATACTCATTTTTGTTTTAAATACATGGACAATATGTCCCACAACTTGCTCTAGTTACCATCTAAGCAAAAAAGGATGTATCATAGTTTCATTTCTACCTAATGGGATATTTTAGGATCAGGAAAAGCTTCCTGGTACTGCGCACCTTCAAGTCCCATTTAATTCCTAGATCATGAACCTAGAAAAATGCATTTGTGTATGTGTAACATTACTGTTCCTCTTTTGGATTATGGCATTACTACTTAACACAAGTACTGTTACCTATGCGCACTGTCTTTTCAGGATCAGAGATCTAATATACACATGCACTTTGGAACATAAACTGTCTTCATCCCTTCGTTGCAGGGGGTGGGGGATATTAAACTGTTGATACCACATCAGTGTGGGCCACCTAAAGGTGAAAAGATAGTGGCTTTTGAACACATCTTTGTTGTATTCCGAACCATTTGTTTTCAGGGCAGGCAATGTGAGTTTGAGCCACTTCTGCACAGTTAAAACGTTTGCCCGTCTTCACCCTTGCCTATCTACTTTGTGTCAGAGATTTTCCGATGGAAAGAAGCACTTATAGACTAAGAGGTAGAAAGCAGAACGCACAGAGCATCTGACAGGGTTCAGTAACATTTCCACTGTCATATCGGAACTGCAGGGAACAGGAGAATGCTTTCAAACAGGGTGATTTTCCAATTAATTTGGTCTGTTTCGTTGTCTTACTAAACAAAAGAAATTGTTGCCAAATGCATTTTTCCCCAACATTGGGGTTACAAGAGAAGAGGGTTTTCCCCCCCTATTCCACTGCCAAGTTCTCCATACTAGCAACACCCCTGATGTAGGGGGAGTAATCTTTTAAAATAGTGAAGCCAATGTGGTGCTCAATTACTTTTAGTAGGAAGAATATTAAAAAAACACAAAAACACAGCAGGATAGCAAATACGTTGAATAAATATTGAAAATATAAGAGAGGATTTTTAAAGAGCAATATTATAAGTCTTCTTCTGGGAGTAAGAGGCAGGGCAGATTTTACACACTGAGGTGAGATCCATATATTATCATTGATTATTTTTCCTGCTCCAATCTTTACTCCCCGATGAAGCCCATTTATGAAAAAGAAAAGAATATATATATATATATTTACATGCATTGCCATAGCAGTCAAACGGGAAAGGTTTATGGATGTGAAACAGGGGTGGTGTTCTGTACTGTAGATATATATACACACACAAACTGGTTGCATAGTCTATGGGGGTTGGGGAATTAATAGTATTTCTGTGAGATAGGTACAATATATTTCTTGTGTTACAGCTGCCACTCAACCATTTCCATGTAATTTTTGTCCCTGAGAGTTCATTCATATGGTCACAGATTTTGAAGGCAAAGAACCCTGACAGTTGCAAGACCATCTCAGCTAAATCTCAATATGCTATGAAGTTAAACTTTGATTTTTTTGTTACCTCGCTTCCCTTCACAAAGTGACCAGAATTAACCTAACACTACAGTCTTCCTTAATTTCTACGGGAGAAGAGGGGTTTGAAGCAGTCATGAAGGTGGTCTGTATAGATACAGATTTGTGAATTAGATGCAAACTGGGTGTGCAGCTGAGGCTGGATCCTGGAGACCTCCATTGTTATACACACTCTACTGTAATGCACACGTGTGTTTGTGTGCAAAACAGATGAGTTCAAATGTATGTGTAATCATGGCATCAGTATCACAGGAGCGTTGTGAAGGCAGAGGTCCTTCCTCACCACAAAATTCCTAGTAGTTTTGCCCCATAAACCATCCTTTCCTCCCTGTCCCGTCTTGGATCTGTGCGTCTGTAGAAACCAAAAGTATGTTCAGGATGACTGGCTGGCAGATAGTGCATGCTTCCTGCATGCACTTCCATGGGAGTGCAGAAGATAGCATCAGAAAGCTGGACCATCAGAGAGTAATTCAATATGAGGTTTCTCCCTATGCCAACAGTGCCACTGTTTCCAGAAGTGAGAAGGAGCCTTACTATCACCTCTTTCCACGTGGCCCAAACCCATCTCATATCCTCTTTTCACTGTACAAAATTGCCTTGCCAAGCTGATAAGAAGCCCATCTGATGAATGGCCCACTGACACCAGTGGTGCAGTTAGGCAATCACTGATCTTATGGGATGTAGTTCTTTAGAAGATAACAGGTTGCATAGCATGAAGTGAATCCTTCCATCAGCACAAGGATTGACACTTGTGCAATAGAATTTCCTCCCCCCTCCCACCATGCACCCGCTAAATCTGTCCTGGAGGTTTCCCCAACCCTCTGGAGCAGATTTGGGGCATGCACAGGAGGAGAACATTACCATCTGGTTCTGCATGCTGTTCTCACAGGGCCCGACCAGATACCTGTGGGCAAGTTGGACAGCACTGCCCACCTTCAATTCCCAGCAACTGGAGGAGGGGGAAAGTTCTGCTGCACAAGTGTCAATCCTTACGCTAACAGAACAAGTGCATTGGATGCTGCTCAATGTATGCTGCTTCACTTCAGAATGTGGTAAGCCAGCTCAGCTGCATCTGAAAGCCCTCCTGGTGTAGTGGTTAAGAGCGGTGGACTCGTAATCTGGTGAACTGGGTTCGATTCCCCACTCCTCCACATGCAGCTGCTGGGTGACCTTGGGCTAGTCACACTTCTCTCAAGTCTCTCAGCCTCACTCACCCCACAGAGTGTTTGTTGTGGGGGAGGAAGGGAAAGGAGATTGTTAGCCGCTTTGAGACTCATTTGGGTAGTGATAAAGCGGGATATCAACTCCAAACTCTTCTTCTACTACTACTTACTCTGCTGAATGGGACCATGGACTTCTCCAAAATCCTGCCCTGACATAACCACTGACCACCAAGGGTTTTCTGGAATGTAGAGGGGATCTTTGGTTCAAAAATGTGACCTGTGAATAAAACTTGCAGACACACATACTACAAAATGTGAAGTGGACAAAGTCTCAGAATGCTGGACACAGGCGGTCTTTCTTTGGACTGATGAGGCAGGCTCCTTATTCCACAAGTTGCAGATCCTACTCACTTAGCTTGTCCTTGAGCACTTTCCTTATAGAAAGTAGATAGGAGTTAACCCAGTGCATTCAGGAATTGGAGGTGTTTTAAACAATGCAAAGCTCTTGGGTCATCTGTAACTGAATGCAGTAATGGATGCTCCTTTTTATTATATTTCTTACTTGTGCTAACAGAAAGGAAAACTAGATTACAGACAGGCATCTTCTGACATGTAACTAGAGATATTTTTTATAGAAATACTGTATTCAGTATGTGTGTACAAAAGTTAATATTAGATTATATGGAGTAACTTTTTAATTACATTTTTGCTTTTGATTGGATACTATTTTTTTGGAAATACATTGCAAAGAAGATTTCGTGTTAAAGGTTATCCTTCCGTAACATCACTGTAGGGGGGGAAATGTGTTACAAAGCATGACAGCTTTTAAAATATTTTTTACACTAACTTTGTTTCTTACAGAAATCAGGTACCATAGAACAATCTCTATTCCCTGCCCACTCTGGGTTGGCAGCTGGGTGCACCCAGTGTGGCTTGAGAAATATTACTTTGTAGATGTATTTTCAATAAAAAAAATAGTTTTACATTTTTATTTTTGAACTGTGTGGTGTTTTGCCTTCCAGAGAATAACGGGACTCTTCGCATTGTTGTGCATAAATTAATTCCAGTTCTTCTTCTTCTTTTTAAGTCAAACAGTAGTGAACAAGCAGTGTGTTCTGGTTTATTTATTGATTTATTTAGTATTGGGACCACCTGAGAAGGTGCTCTCCCCAGCCACATAACAGGAAAACAGTCCACATCTGATAATATGAAATGGCACAAGTTCAGAACAATTAATATTCCATGTTTACAGTCCGATCCCAACTAGATTCTGCCTAGTGATACTGGATATTCAGCCTATATTAATCTGCATTAATATTAATGTGCATTAATTGTTGAAGAGCAAGGAGTATTGTGGATGTATAAGGTTAAGATGCCATTTTGTGAACTGCCACTGTGATGCCATCATGCTTCTGGATCATGGTATTGCCAGTATCTGACTCAAGGCACACTACAGGAATTTCTGTTGGATCAGACATCAACTTGGCTGTTTGCTGGGACAGAACAGATATCACACCTGCATGTTCATCTGAGAGGGTACCACGATAGTCCAGGTTTAGGCCCCGGGAATTGGTGTACAGGACTCCTGCAATGGAGGGGTTCTTCATTGCAATTTCTAAACGATGCTCCAATGCCCCCTCCATCTTGCTGAGCACCACCTCCCAGTTCTTCTATTGAAGTGAATCTTGGACTTATCAGGATGTTAGGCGCCAAGATGGAAAATGAGGTGTAATGTTGCCACATATCTTATTTTCTCTAAACAAGTCTTGTATACCATGTAGCAGGAAAGAGGGACCTTTTTGGCTCCACAGGCCAGATCTTTATTTGGCTCCACCCCCACAGGCCAACTTTGACAGGTGGGTGGGAAAACCCATCTGTCAATCAGATGGTGCCATTATGACATCATAAAATTGATGTCATGGTTCCCAAGCACCTGGGACAGGGGCAGGAATAAAAAGACTGCTTTTTGCAGACATCCGCTCTGAGAGAACGTCCCCTGTTTATGGCATTGCCCCTACAGCCCTGTAAAACATGGCCATTTTTGTTGAGGGTGGGGTTTTTAACTATAGTGCAGAAATATATCCCATCAGACACAGGTGGCATTGAAATGAAAGTTTTCAATTGAAATGGAAGTCTCTTTCCATAGTGTCTGTCCTTAACTAATATGGCCACTCTTATTTAGCCACATTAATGATACTCACCTTTCATGCGAGTGCTTTAGCAGGCAACCACAGAGGAACAGAGAGCAATGTTGTCTCTGCAGAACTGGCTGCTCTTGCCACCACACAAACTGATCTGGCAAACCAAGCCTCGCCTCACATGAACTTAATGTAAAACTACACTTACGCAAGTAGAATAGCACACCAAACTATCATAGAATTGATGAGCTGGATTCCTGAGGTGGAAAGTGGGAGACTCCACACACCACTCAAACTTGACATACGTTGCGGCTGCATTACGTGAGAATGGCAAACAACATGAGGTAAGTGTAATGTTTCAGCTCAGCATAATCTCCAAGTACTCGCATTTTGAGATCATGGGTTGACTCACTGGACTTCACCTACAACTGGAGATGTTATATCCCACACCTGGGAACCCTGGTTGTTATACAAAGCTCATTGCATGGAACTACAGCTGGACTGGGGCCATATTTTAAATGCAAAACAGATTAAGTTGGCTGGTACAAGGCATAGATTCTGTATGTTAAAACCTTAATTTTATTAATGTTGAAGATATACTGCTCTCCGTGCTATTAAAATGTTTGCGGGTGTTGGGGAAGCATTTTCAGTCTAAGCGCTGCAACTCTTTGGGGTCAACCTTCTGGACTGCATGCCAGAGGCAAAAATGAGCAGAACAACTGATTCGACTTTTATTTTGTACAGTAGGCTACATTCCACCCATGCAGAAGCCAGCAGTTTTTACACACATACACACCTCCATCCAGGCAAGAAAGAGGCATTACTATAAATTAATGCCATGTTCTATTCAGGCAAAAAAACCAGTTGAATAGTGTGTGGAGCAGAACCATGGTGTGTGTGTGTGTGTGTGTGTGTGTGTGTGTGTGTGTGTGGCCTGCGGGGGAGGGAGAGCTAGGAAGATGACATGGCTTGAGAAGAAGCTTGAGGGCTGGATGCAGAGTCTGGGAGGGTTGCATTCAGCTTGTGGACCAGAGGTTCATCACCCTTGAACTAAACCTTGGAGAATCATATGACAGCTTTGCTGACACTGGGCTGTAGACATCAGCCATCGTTAATACTTATATATAATTTGTTAATAGTTATATATAATTATCTGTTTTTGTGTCTGTAACCTGAAACAAGAAAAGTGCACTCTCTCACTTGGACTGATTAAATGATGGTTCATGATGACAACCAACAAGAGAGAGAAGGTGGGATATGCCAGCTCTCCCTCCCTAATATATGTGGAGCCCTTGAATTGTTTACCAACATTCTTTTGTACTGTTGTATATCCTATTTTGACAACTCTGTAAAAGAAATTTTCTTCACAGTCTATGTAACCCGTCATATAGTGACACTAGGCTTGTTAAGAACATAAGAGAAGCCCTGCTGAACTGAATCAAACACATATCTAGGTCAACATTCTGTTTCCCCCAGTGGCCAACCAGATGCCAATGGGACGTTAACTCAGAAGGAAGTCTCACTAGTCCAATGGGACTTGTTCTCAAGTTAGTAAACATGCACAGGACTGGGATGCATGTAGTGATGGGTGAATCCCCGCCCCGCCCCCCAGTTCACTTCAGAATTGGATCATCAGTTGTGTACATCATGCAAGAACCTACAAGAAAAGTTACCTCCCTCCCAAGAGTGCTGAACTGACACATAGTATTGGTTGTAACTTATCATTTCTGTAAAGTTAATCTATTTTTTGCCCAAGTCATGGACACTAATCACAGCTCAGAACATAAGAAGAGCCTGCTAGATCAGACCAACAGGTCTTCTGGTTCAGCATCTTGCTCTCATGGTGGGCCACCTGGGGGAAGTTTGCAAGGAGGACCTAACAGAGCTCAGGCAGAACCACATGTGCAAAATCTTGTTTTCCCATTCCAATATACTGAAGTATTGGGAAGGAAGAGGGGAGGACATGGTGCTACAGGAGCATTGCTAGCAGCTGAATTTTGTACAGCAAACTTGATGATGATTAACCTTGCTAGCATCAGTTGCTCAACATGTTTCCATCCAGTTCCACTTTCTTGTGTTAGAGTTCAAGCTATTCTTACTTCTTCAGATAAATCTCAGCAAGGTATCTTTGGACAAAAGACAGTATTCAAGGGCTTGCCCAAATTATCATTTAAATGTGTTGTATAAAATTGGGTTAGCTCTGATGTGCACTTTTTTAATTGGTTCATTCCCACTACATGGAAGGGTTTTGCCTATTAAATTGTCTAATGCATAAATCACTTGTGGCAGGCGGAAACCCCCTGGCTGCCTTGTCATGGCTTTGTTTTGTTTTGTTTTTTGGATAAGGTTCAAAAAAAGATATCAACTTCAGATTCCTGGATGCTAACTGCAGATGCAGACAAGCAACAATGTCTTCACAAGAAATTGTACCCCAGAAAAACCCTTTGTTTAAAAGAGCAGCTACAATTCTACAGATGTGTGTTCGGCCAACTAAAGAACAACAAAAAGGAGGAAAGTCTTCGTTCAAAGCCAACAGTGCTTTCGGTGGCCGTCAATCTCTGCTCTCTTCCAGACGACCTGTGTTTTGAGCATTCAGCCTGACTTGCTCGCACAAAGCTGGCACAAGGGTTAGACTGTGTGTGGTCTTTAGTGAACGTTCATTTGCATTTCCTTGCAGAAAAGTTGTACAACAATGAGCATTCATCCTTAGCTCTTTGTGCAATGTTTATACATCTTCCCACTATTCATTCAGCCCAAGATTTCCAGTGCATTTCCCCATCACTTTCCTAACTGCAAAAAGTCCATTTTTAAGAAGTGGATTTGTGGATTTGTTGCACTAGAGCAAAGGTAACAAACGTGATGCCCTCCAGATGCTGTTGGACTCCAATGCCTACCAGCCCCAGCTAGCATGGTCAGTGGTCAGAGAAGTAGTTGAACAATACCTGGAGGGCACCCTGTTGCACGTGAGCAAAAGGGCATATTAATCCAATTTAATTGGGTGGTTCGAATCCCCGTGATGGGGTGAGCTCCCATTGCTCAGTCCCTGCTCCTGCCAACCTAGCAGTTTGAAAGCATGTCAAAGTGCAAGTAGATAAATAGGTACCACTCTGGCGGGAAGGTAAACCGTGTTTCCGTGCACTGCTCTGGTTTGCCAGAAGCGGCTCAGTCATGCTGGCCACATGACCTGGAAGCTGTACGCCGGCTCCCTCGGCCAATAAAGTGAGATGAGCGCCACAACTCCAGAGTCAGCCATGACTGGACCTAATGGTCAGGGGCCCCTTTACCTTTAAATGTCCGGAAAGGTATTGGAAACTCTCCTGCATAATACTGATAGTCTATAAGTGACCTTATACTTATACCACAGACTTTACCTACCTGATGCCTTCCAGATGTTTTGAATTACAGACTCCCCTCAGCACCAGCCAGCATGGAATCAGGTTGATAAAGCTACCATACAATATATGTTTATTTTTTCTCTAAGAACACTATTTTCAGTTATATTGACTGATTGATAGGATTTATATTCCCCTTTTCAACAAAGACAGGTTCCCAAAGCAATGAAAATTACATTTGCTATGTAACTGACAAGAGCACTTCCTTGTCAGAAAGCAGAATTCATATGGATGGTTTGAATTAAACTGGAAGCAAGTTTATTGGTGACACACAAACACACCTGAACATAGAGCTCCCCATCATTTAGTTATTTATTTTATTGTATTATTTTTTACCCTGATCTTCCTCTGAAGAGCTTTCCAAGCAGCTTATGGTATAGTTCCAAAGTGGGCTATCTGGAGTACCCCCTATCGGGGATAAGAAAGCTGTAGCCCATCAGATGTTGCTAGACTCCAACATCAATCCCAGTCAGCATGACCAGTGATCAGGGATGAATGGAACTGTAGTCCAATAACATCAAAAGGGCCACAGATTCTCCACCTCTAAGTTAGGTAGATGCCTAGACCTGCTTAACAGTCAAACATCATCATGTGACTTCAGAGGATTTGATGGAGGAAATGAGTGGCACAGTTCCACTTCTGAAAATACACATTTGCTAGAACATAATGGATGGGGTTTGGCTTACAAGAACGATGTGTCAAAATGTGGGATATTAATAAGAAAGCAAATAAATAAATAAATAAATAAATACATGAGCATGAGCTTACCTTGCCTACTGAGCTTTAAGTAACTTTAAAAATCCGTGGTGTGCCATATACCAGGGCAGACTATCTGTCCATTTAGCTTAGGATGGTGCCTAGCAGTGACTCTGTGGAGTCTCAGGAAGAAGCTTTTTCTTAATACCTTCTACCTGTTTCCTTTTTCCTCCTTAAGTGCCAGGGATTCCAAAGATGGGAGATTTTGCATTCAATGCATATGCTCTACCACTAATCTTCAGTCCTTCCCTTTTGCTGGATGCAGCATGAACTTTTAAAAAAATGTCCCTCCTTTCCCAGAGTGCATACATGCAACTAGGCAGAGCCCCAGCAGTGCAAGTATACCTCCAAACTATTACTTGTGGATGTAGTAGCATGTCTATTGTCATTAATAGGGAATTTGTAGGGGTCTGGTGTAAAGCATGCAGGCTGGGTCATGCTTTGGCTGATTCCTGGGGTGTGGAAGACATAGTTAACTGTTTTTGTGAATTAGCCCACAGCATTAACATGAATAACCACTGAGCATGTTATGAGACACTCCCACCCTGCTAGGCTGTTCTCTGGTTTAGGAGCATGCTTCCTCTTATGTATGCATATGAAAGACAGGTGATGAAACAGCCATTTTTCCCTCCAGAAAGCATTTATTCCATCTCAATTAAGAAGACTATTAACATGCCCCACCTCTTCTCTAAACAGAAATGCTAGCTCTCACTAGTTCACTGAAACAACCATCTCCTGCTGTGCCATTGCAGTTCACTTAAAGGAACAGAGGAGAGAACTGGAAGATGAAACACAGCACACTGAATCTGTCACTGATTCTATGTGTACTGTCAGTCAAGTGTGTTGTTGTTGCTGCTGTTAATTAAATTTGTATACCGTCCTTCATCTGAAGATCACAGACAGTTCACAACATAAAAGTATAAAGTGAGAACACAAAATACACAACCACCACTACCACCAATAACCTCCTCCCACAAGCACACTGAAAAGGCCATAGGATGTTAATCAGCCAAAGGCCTGGTTGTAGAGAAATGTTTTTGTAATATATACATACTGTTGCATACCTGGCATTTGTGGTATATTAGAGAAGTGAGGCTCCTTCATGGATCACTGTTGTGGAAAAGGGGTTTGAATAACTCAGAGAAGCTATGAGCTATGCCCTGCAGGGCCACCCAAGACGGACAGGTCATAGTGGAGAGTTTTGACTAAATGTGATCCACCTGAAGCAGGAACCGGCAAGCCACTCCAGTATCCCTGCCAAGAAAACTCCATGGACAAAGACAACAGGTCAACATGAGTTTGAGCTACCAACATGAGTTTGACCAAACTGCGGGAGGCAGTGGAAGACAGGAGTGCCTGGCATGCTCTGGTCCGTGGGGTCACAAAGAGTCGGAAACGACTAAACAACAACAACAAAGAGAAGTGAGGAGGATCTTAACACAGAGATGCAGGGAAACATAATGTGCTGATACAAAGGAGCAACAAAAAAAATATGGACATAGTAACAAAAGAAGCTGCCTTAGACTGAGTTGGATCAATTGGTCCATCTTGTTCAATCTGGCTTGTTCAGTCTTGGTCCATCTGGCTGGCAGTAACTTTCCATAATTCCAAGCAGGTGAGATGCTGGAGATTGAATCTGTGACATTCTGTTCTACCCCTTGAGCTATAACTTCCCCCCGCAGGACTTGCAATATAAGGATTGCATATAAGAAGCAAGGTGCAGTGCACCCAATAATGAGCATTTGAATTGCATCCTTGGCTCCTTGTGCCTTTGCATCACATCTCCTCTATGTACACAGAAAGCCTGATACATGTCCAGTCCCCCCTTGCTGGACTCAAGTTATTATGCTGAATTTTGTTTGCAGTGGCCAGGTTGAGAAGTAGCAAATTCTACCTACCAACCAACTACATAGTATTCTGAAAACTGGGTTACTGTTAGCGTTTGGCCCAACTTTAAAAAGTGGGTGGTTGTCAGTGTGAGGGTGAGTGGCAGAAGCTTTTTAGATACAATCACTGTACCTGTTAAACAGTTAAACTCCTAAACAGTGCCTCCTTCCTGGAATAAAGGGCTCAAGCAATTCTGCTGTGTTTCAATAGGGCTTTTATGTGGGAGCAGGGGTACATAATGAGCACCCTATTCAGAACAAGAGTTTGTGTCTGTGTAACAGCATGCGGGGAGGATAAAGGAGAGAGCTCATTCATGTGGAAAAATCAATTATGGGCTCAGCAAAGTGCCTCTGTTCCCCGGTGTGAAGGACTGTACTTGAGAGAGAGGGAAATCAAGAATGAGGCTTGTGCCTCCAGTGTAGCTGCAAATGCCGAGAGATTCCATTTTACTCCTCTTCTGCCATAGAACATCCCACCGCAACAGGGAAATTCAACATGCACCTGCCAAACACTTATTAGCATCCGCTTTCTTACTTGCTGTGTGATCTGTGCTTGCCAGTGAGTTATTCAGTATAGAGCCCCTGCTCCCCTTTGCATTTCCCTTCAGTGAACAGGGGTGGGGAAATGTTCAGAGTGTCAGAACAGAGTACGGAGGAGGAGGAAGGCAGAGGTCACAAGGTGTAAGCTGAGCCTGGACAGAGTTACTTTCCGTCACCACTGAGTAACTGCAAACACACCCTCCAGAAGACTGTCATTTCTCTCTAATCAAGAAGAATGGAAATTATCACTTCCAGGTAGCCTTCAGTCCTGGCACATCCTCAGTTTAGGAGCGCAAACAATGGTGTGTGTGTTAATTACCTGCCGTTTTGGAACTATGTATTATCTTGTGCTGTTTGCAGAATGGCTGCAACGTATTTAGCCTCCCAGCAACCTATTTTTGCATATTACTCAGGTCAGGTCAAATTTTTATTGCTTATGGCCAAAGGCCTTTGCAAACGTCCAAACAGGCTCAAAAACAGACAAAGAATCACATTTGCAATTGCAATTGCAAATACTGTACTGAAAACACTACATATATAAAATATAGTAAATATAAGCCAGAACCAAGGGATTTTTTTAAAGCAATACAAGAAATAATTTTTTAAAAACCTAATAGAATCATCATCAAAATATCATCAAATAAAATTATCATCAAATCTCTGAAAGCACTTCTTCCCAGATCCTAGCTGCAACCAATGCAACAAAACATGTATGCCACCTTGAGCGACTTCACCTATAAGTTACTAAAAACTCAGTATCTGACAAAACCTATAATATCCTCTGGGATTTGTGTGTGTTTATGTGTAATTCCAATAAAACAGTATCCTGAAACTTGAAAAGGGGTCCCAAAGCATACTTGAGAGTGTGTTGGTTTAGCAGGGGCTTTGCGTTGATGTAAAGTTAAGGAGTCACCCGTCCATATGAAATCTTAGCATATGGAATTCTGTGCTATGAAAATATTGTTCATATTACCGTATTTTTTGCACCATAACACTCACTTTTTTCCTCCTAGAAAGTAAGGGGAAATGTTTGTGCGTGTTATGGAGGGAATGCCTACAGGTGGCATGCCTACGGATTTTCCTCCTCTAAAAACTACGTGCGTGTTATGGTCGGGTGCGTGTTATAGAGCGAAAAATACGGTATTTAGCAAATCACTGAAAACAGTCCAATAGGCAACTAACTATTTTGTATTTTTCAAAACATTTTAAATAAATAATTTTAAAATGGTTAATAGACTATCTTTGCATTAAGCCAAGGCCAAGCAAACCACCCAAACAACAGCCAAATAATACAACCTAACCTACATGGGGATGATATGAGTATAACCGGGAGAAAGGAGAACAATGTACACCACTTTGAGCTTTTTGCAGAAATGAGAAAAAGTTAT